AACCAAACATGCTGTCTGTTTCCTTACTGTGGGGCTATGACATTAGACTACTCTATTTGCATGATGTCTCAGTTGATGGTCATGATGAGGAGTCAATTTTAGACCCCTACCCAGCTTACAGCTGTATGAACAGCAGTGTATTGTGCACATAAACTTGGTCCTTTTAGAGTTGCGCACACAGGGCCTCCTTGCTGCTCTCATACCCTATTTTTTTTTCTCCTTCTTTTCTCCTTAGTTCAAACCCAAGCGTGTGGGAGCTGGGTTTCCAAAGAGTTCCAGCGTATTCCAGACAGCTTCAGAACTGCTGATGATCCAGGAGGAAAGCAATACAAAGCTTGTCAAAAAAGAAGATTGTCCAAATGAGCAAGACAACAGTAACTGTAATCTGGAACCAGACAAGAGAAACCGTGTTCTCCAGAAAAAAGGAAAAGCAAAAAAAGAAAAAGCAAAGTGTGAGAGCTCTGAGGTAGAACTACTTCCTGAAAAGAAGGGACAGCAACCCAGTCCAGACACAAAAACTGCCCTTTGTGATAGCCCTGCTAAGAAAGCCAAAGTTAGCAAAAAGCAGCAAATGCTGGCAGAGGCAGCCAAAAAAGAATCACAGGATATTTCCAAGTTCTTCTCCCTCTCCAAAGGTGGGTCTAAAGCCAAAAGTTGCAGCACAGCAGAGGAAGTCAGCTGTTCTGCAAGCACACTACCTCAGGTTTCTTCTCAAAGCGTATGTCAAGAGACACCACCACCTCAGGGAAACAAAGATGAATCTGGAGAGGATGTGACTGCACAGTCCCAGGCAGAGAATGAAGAGCTGGGGGGGACAGAAGGAACATTGACTGAGCAGGAAGAGGAAGGAACACTGACTGAGAAGGAAGAGGATTTTAAGCAGGCTGCTGAATCTGAACTCCTTCAGGAAGAACTTGATGTAAAATCCAGGTAATATCTCCACCTCTCTCCTCCCTTTGTTACCCCATTAAGTAGCTGTAGGGCCCCACCAGCCTCGTCCTGGAAACTGAGAATCCATGTCAAATCTCTAGGCTGGTGAGGAAAATTCCTGCTTTACTGTGGAGTGTCTAATGGCTGCTGACAGTGACTATTGGAATGAATTAAATTGCCCTTCTCTCCACTCTTTCCTCCAGTGTTGCTGAAAATGTCACAGAAACTGAGTTAACTGTTATTGGGGAAGGTCAGAGTGGGAAGCGACCAGGATGGGATGAGGTAAGACTTCAATGGATGCCGATTCCCTCTACTTCTGCTCTCCTTGTTCCAAGTCGCTCCGTGGAAGTGATGCTCCTGGTCTGAAGTTCACCTGGTAGTGTTATTTAGCTGGGGAGGGCCCAGCTGTAATTGCAGTGGAGAGAACTGTAGATGAGTTGCCCTCCTGAAGTGTCCCTGCCACCCACAGGGCCAGTGCCAGCAACTCAGACTGCAGTGGAGAGCTTCCACTGCACGCTGCTGTTTCTTGTCTGCAACACTTGACCATACATTTCCTGATAACTTACCTGGAACGATTCTCTCCACCCCCTCTAGATCTGTAACTATTATTAGCGAGACGCCTTCTCCATTCATGGGAACAACCACAGGTCAGTGACCCATGGGACCACTAAAAAGGGAATCCCGTGCGCAGCCTTCCTTGCCATTCAGGCTCTGGTTCTGCTGTTGGCATCCAAACCTGCCTAGCAGCTGCCTGTGCTGAACAGTGCAGTTTTCTCCTTGCTCTCCTGAGTTGAGCAGGAGTGTGGCGCTTCTGAGGTGTTTAATTCTTCCTGAAGGGTGTGCACTCAGCAAACATCCTGGGAAATCTTTTCCCGTGAGCCTCTCCTGTATAAAACCAGGTCTAGCAATTAGCTGCCCTAATGAGAGTATAGGTATATAGTATATATACCAAAATAATTGGTAGTCTGATAGGGTTTTTTTCAAAGCCCCTTTTATGTGGGAAAATGTGTTATGTCTGCAGAGCTTCGTGTCCCCAGGAAGTTCTGTAGGTTCCTGCATGGTAACCACTATAGGAAGAGACTGCTGGATGCTGCAGAGATTCACGTTCTCAGAAGGCAGTGGCTGTTTGAAAGTGTAATGCTGCTGCAGGAATTAGTGATTTGGGTTTTCTTCTGTCCCACCTCCAGGATATGGAAAGCCCCGCAACAAAGCGGCTACGGACAGCAGCAAAATCTTCTATTCTGTCCCAGCCAGAAAGCAAAAGTGTTGGTCCAACAAAGAAGAAGGTGACTTTTGATCCAAACTTATTGCAGTGTGATAAAGATGAAGCCAGCAAGACCATACAGCCAGCGACCAAAAGCGTGTCCCTCAAGGAGACAGCAGACATCGTTGTAAAATATTTGACCCCGTTCTACAAGGGCGGCAAATTTGCTTCCAAGGTAGGCACAGCTCAGGACCCTTTCACACAGGAGACTGCATCTCCCCAGGGATCTGGGGCCCTAAGAAGGGAACAATGGTATGGATACCACATTTAATTTCCAGGTCACATCTCGGTATGTGCCATGAGTGGTTTGTGCTACAGCCTAATGGTTTGTGCTACAGTACTAAGGGCAAGACAAATGCAGAATTAAGCCTGGTGAATTATTGATGTCTGCTTTCTGCTTTTTATCCTCCCTCTCTCTGCAGGATCTGTTTAAGGGCTTTGCTCGGCACCTGTCTCACTTACTGACTGAAGATCAGAACCCTGCCCGCAAGACTGGTGAGTTGGAGCTGTAGAGAGCACCAAGAATCTTGGTTTCTCGTGATGCTAAATGAATTGATGGCTCTAGATGTCTTAAGTATCATCTCAAAGGTGCTGCTGCTTCTCTTGCAGTGAAGGAAGAAGCACAGAGACTCATTAAGGAGTTTTTCAAAACACGAGACAGATGTGAGAGTGAGACAGACTGGCAGGAGCTGCAGAGCTCGGAGAGATGATCCTTGCATCTTGTTCGTCAATTCCTTCTTCCAGTAGTGGGACCAGAGGATCCTGAAGAACTTAGCCACGGAGGGGTTTATGAAACTGCAGAAGTGAACTGTCTTTCCCCACTGCATTTTTGCTCTCTTCAGCCTGCAGTGCCACCTTAGTGACACACGTTTCCACAAAACCAGTTTCTGTGAACCTATGGAGAGTTTCTCCACTAACCAGAGCACCGAGGTCCTCCAGTACCTTGTGCCAAGAGGTACGAAGTCTCCAACTGCTGTGTAGGTTAGGGGCTGCTGCCTCAGGTGTTTTGCAGTGCCTCCAATTTCTGTCTCTGCAGTGGTCTGGGAAGGCATCTTACTGAGACTCTGCTTTGGGATGGCATCCTCTTGCTTCCTAGATGGCTGTTCCTCCTGCTCCCCCCCTCCCTTAGTTCTTATTTGAGTGTTACCAATAGAAGCCTTATGCTACAAACGAGTTCACATGCTTTTGCTCAGGGCTGCCAATGCTGAACTTGATGTTTAAGTACCTGGATGGAATGTTTTTCCTTGGAGGGCAGCAGGGGAGTGTTTTGTTTTTACTCTGCAGGCAATGCCTACTTTCTGAAGGTAGAGAAACTCAGATTCTTTTTGTTTTAATCCCAACTTTTTTTTTTTTTAAACCGTGTCTGGTTCTGCCTGCCCTTTAACTGAAGTGGTGATGCTGTCTTGGTAGTAACCTCTCTAGTATTGGCACCAAGGTGGCCAACACTTTTCCAGCATTGCTTCTAACCCCTAAAGCCATATCTGCTCCCTGTGCCTCACCCACAGCCTGCAGTACAGAGGGCAATGCTGCTGTTACTACTGGTTAATGTACTGCTGTGGCCCTCAGGTTGACACTGCGGTGCCTCTGCTGCTATATTTATATAAGGACCTGAACTGTAGGGTATCAGTGGGCTTGAAATAACCTGATTCCCTGGCACAAGTCCTTTCTGTTGGGTTTTAGTTGGGTTCTGTCTTTTTTCCATGCTTATAGAGGCTGGTGGCCTCAGGCAGTATTGCTGCTAGAGGAATCTGCAGCCTGAGAAGCCATGAAACAGGCTTTTGAATCACTGTACTCAACAGCTGATTATTTTTATGTGCTGAAGGGTATGTGCAGAACTGACAATAAAACAGTGTTATTGCAGCTGTGGACTCTTCCTGGAGGTTTTTTCTTACCTATCATGTAGGCTGGTCTTAGTTACATTAAGACTCCATCACTGTAAACTTAGACATGAAAGCTTGCTCTTTTTATCTGAGCAGGCAAGCCTGGGATGGGATGGGTGGGAAGTGTGTAGCAGCAGACACCTCCATCCCCCAATAGCTGCAGGATATTTCTAGCTAAGCACCAGGAGGAGAAGAACCTGGAAATGTTTACCTCAAAAGTCACTTTTATCTTCAGCTTTCTCTGCTCAAGGGGAGGACAAAAGGGCTTTGCAAGAAGCCTTTGTATAAAAGAACTATTTTTTTCAGCTGTTGCCTGCTGGCTTCTGTTTCACCTTCTCATTAAAATTTTTGTTACATCAGCTATCTCCAGGAACCCCTATGTAAGGTTACTATCTCCAGCATTCAGTGCTTGTAGAGTTCAGTTGCTGCCTGGGTGAACTTTACAGAAATTTTGTGCAACTTGTAAAAGCAGAGGACGTCCAAAAGGGCATGGGGGGTTGTAGCACGGTGCTCAATCACCATGGAGAGCAGCTCTTCAGATGAGTTGTGTTCCTACGTAAGGCAGCAAAAGCTCAGAAAGAGGAGGGAAATGATGAGTTAATCTTCAGAGATGGTCTCTGTTCCTTTCTTTCATATTGCTGTGGCACTTCAAGGCACTAGCCTTGCAGTAGTACTGGTGAAGGGAGAAGGTGCAGCACACACTCCAGCAAGGACCTCTCTGGCCCCAGCAAGCAGCATTTGCAGGAATTTTCCTGACAGGGATGCCACTGTGCCTACTGCTGGCATCAGCTCACCAGCAAGGAGCTTGCATTAAACAACTCTAAATCCCATTCCCAGCCAACAGTGACCACGTTTTCCTGTAATTTTTCCAGTTAGCTGCAGGTCACCCACCCCACATTAGATGTAAAGCAGTGTCTGTCATCTCATAGCTTCAAAATAGCCACTATGCAATTATTTTATTACAGTCTCCTGTAATAAACCTTTTAGTTCAGTAGGCTAGCTGTAGCAATAAAAATAAATTAAGTATTTTTATACAATTTGAGACACTCTCCTATACTGTCATACCAGTTCCCCTTGAATACACTTTCTCCATGGGCATGGAACCATGATGTAAGTATGACAGCTTCATGGACATGATTGACTTCTTTATAGCAGAAGGAAGAATAAGTATACGCATACATCAGTAAGAAATTAATTAACAATAAACATTCTTACCATTGCAGCTCAATCTGTGCCCTAGCGGATGTAGCAATTGTATATTAACACTGATCTGCTTTGCAATTAAGATGCTGTCTACAAGCTCCTGCTTCACAAACCCTGCTATGGGGCTTCTTGCGTATCAATTGAGAGAAGAAGCTGGTCTATGGAAGATGGCAGCAACCAGTGCAGTCATTTCATAGCCCTGGCTTTGCTTTCTGATACACGAATCGCTAGCAAGTATCATCAGTCTTTACTTATGAGCCTCAATTTAAAGAGAAAAATAGTCCCACAGTGCGTAGCTTGAAGGCAGTTGCTTGCATCTGTTCAGCTGCTCTGTGCTGGATCAGGCAATGAAGAAGCAATGGAGTGGAAAGGGTGTGGGTTGTTCAACCAGTGCAAGCATTGCTTCAAGGAAAAGGATTTGGTGACTGAACAGCAGGTCACAAGGGGTGAGATTACAGCCCAGTCCATTAACAAGCACACCATCACGGTGGTGGCAGTCTTAGAAAGCAGCTGTCTGAGATCACGGATGTTTCTGGGACAGACCTCTCCAGGGGACAGGCAGGGAGCACTGAACAAGCTCAAAGGAAACTGGTACTGTCTTGCTTGGTCATTCATCTCCTTAGGCTTTAGGGATGAAAACCTGTTTTATCCAGGATGACAACGACCGTGTGATACATTTCTTTAGCCTGTCAAAACACAAATGAGTACCAGTCAATCTCTACCCCAGCAATAGCTGCTTCTCATAATTAAATATTCCCATAATTAAGTATCTTCCCATAAATTGCTTCCCATAATTAAATACCAAGCAGGCACTGGGATTTCAAACTGCAGTTTGGGAACTGGTAAATGCAGCATCCCCATCCACCCCAGGACAGAAGCGAACAGCAGGCTCTTAGCAGAGGCTCAGCTGGGGAGTAGAGGGCAATTTCTGAATTGCCCCGAGGAAGCTGTGTGTCAGGGCTGATCATCTCACCTGTGGCAGTTCAAGCCACAGAGACTTGGGACTGGCAGCGGAGCCATAGTTCATTTCTATGCCGGGGAGCCCACCATCAGAGGTGGGCCGCAGGGTTCGCATCTTCTGCAGCTCATTCAGTGGGATGACGTGGGAGACTGCCTGTGGAAAGAAAAAAGCCACAGAGCATTAGCTGGTGCAGTCCTTTAAGAACAAAATGATCTGATTCTGGCCAAAGAGGATTCATCTCAAGAACTTCTTGAAAGCTGAGGCAAAGACAAGGGCCCAGGGCAGAGTAAGTGGAAGGACTGCAGTTAATTGTTAGGCCTCACTGCCAGTGCATCCCTGGAACTCCTACAAGCCTAGGCCAAATAGGAGTGTGTTTTCTACACTTAGTTTTACTGTGCACCGTGCTTGTTTGCATGATCACTGCTGGACTTGCAAAAGAGCTCACACCATTACTAACTGTTCTACTGCTCTTGTCACTGGCTTTGGGCTAGGGCTGCTGGCTGCAAGGCACATAAATACAGCCTCTTCCTGCACAAGTCTTAAAAGTCAGAGCTAACACCTGAAAGACATCAGGGCTTGGGACACTGAGGAAGAATTATCTGGCATACCTGGGTGATGTTATCCACCACAATGATCTGTTCATTGTTCACACCAAAATAGCAGGGCACAGGAATTGTGCTGTCGCTCACTCTCTCTACAAAGTAGAAGTTGTAGCCAAAGAAGGGCAATTTCATCGCGTGCTCTGTAAGAAAGCAGAAGGGTGGCATTCAGGCAGCAGCTTCCAGCCAGCAGTCTCCTGCACCTGCCTAAGGTGGTCAAAAGAGGCAGGTGCACTTTTTAGTGCAATTGACTTCTCCCACCACCCCTGCACTCCTAGTCAGCAGCCTGGACGGATGTGCCATCCTTTTCAGAACAGAAAACAGCTGTGCAGACAGAATATCAATTAAAGCACAACTCATACAGGGCTCTGAAAGTTTTCTGCAGTTTTACCAAGAGGTGTGACTTCTATCATGATGACCATGTGTGGAGGCATGTGCCAGTCTGCAGAGAAACACTCTCAGGGAGTTGTGTCATGGGTCATTGCAAGCCCCAAAGATCCTTGCCAACCTCATCAACTGTCCCAGAAATGCATTCAGAGGCAGCTTCCATCACAGTCAGGACAGATTACTACCCAAGTAGATCTGGATGTCTCCTCACCTATGAACTGGATTTTTGCATCCAGTGGTTGGAGTGGCTGCCTGGTTCTCAGCAGCATCCCGAGATGGTTCTGCAGAGTCTGGGGATTGATTTGGGACTGCAAAGGCATTGGTATGTACTCCTTCAGCTCTTCCCTGTGCCAAAAAGTAGACAGTAATTCACCCCCTGCCCAGCCAAAATCAAAAGATAAATCAGGGGGAGTTAGAGAAAGGAGGGGATGTGGTAACAATTTTCAGTAGAAGAGCTGGGGGCAAGGGTGGAGGGGGGAGAGAGAAGAGCACAATGGGTCACATCTAAACTGGTTAATGTGTGAGGAAACACAGACAGTTGAGACCATCGTATTTCCATAGAGAAGGCTGTGTACCACTAATACACTAACAGAAATCCCTCCTTTCTGGAGACAGCATGTAAGTAGAGCTACAGGGTGTTTCTTTCACAGGCAGTCTCAGCTGAAAAGCACCTTACACTAACTGTCGTGTGTGCCGCCATAGCACTACACAGAGCAGAGTTTCCCACACCCAGCAGGGTTCTACCCTTGCCCGGGATGCTGTAAGGGGATTTGATGGTGATATTACCTCCATCACCTTCATCTCCGTTACATGGCTACAGCTGAAAGCTTGTACACTTTGTTCTTGGTAGCACAAACACATGGCAGCCTACAGGAATGTTTGTGGCACCCTCATGCCTTGAACTCAGCAAGAGTCACAAAAGGAAACATGGAGAAGGGATGGTCTGCATTAGGAGTGTGAACCGCAGGTAAACTTTCTTGGTTACAAGGCAGGTGTCAGTCACCAAGTGACATTAATTAATGACTTACGCTCTCCAGAATTGTCCACTCCTTAATTATCCGGAGTAGTTTCAGGCCCCTGCACCTAACCAATGTAGTGCCAACAGAGACCCACCCTGAGACAAACATACCTGGGGGGAACAGAACTCTCCTGCTCTGTTTTGGCCCAGTGCTGGAACAGAAGCAAAATGGCCACCTGCATCTCCACTTCTTGATTATAGCTCAGCAGCATCTTCCCATTCAGGTAATCCCACAGCACCTGAGAGCACAGGAAAAAGGCTTTGTTAAAGCTGCCAGGAGGTGCAGGCAGGTCGAGGCAGCACCAGGCTGCAGAGACCCCACATCCTGCCTCGCAGATAGCTCAGGCTGATAACTCTAAAACAAAGGCTTGTTGGGCTCAAGACGAGCATACAGAACTGCACACAGCTTGTCTGGAGCAGTACAGCCCATAGGCTAGGGCCACATAAGCACTGCCTTGTTTGCCTCTGTAGCATCACTTGCGTCACTCATTAGTCATTCCCAGAAACAGCATACAAAGCCAATCAGCCAAAGCCCTCACACTTCTTCAGCCCCTTTGGGACATCCCCACTGGCCTCTCCTCTAATTCTGCCCCTGCTAGAGAGGTTCCTGGTGCTCACGGTGCCCTTGTTGCTTACCTGTCCATAATGGACATCAGTATAAATTTTGTTCTCAAAGTGCAGAGGTGTCTTCCAGGTGAGTCTGCGTAAACTCACAGTCACCAACGCATCCTCCAGCAAATAATCATGAAGATATTCCTCTGTTCTCATCGGCCTCACCATTTTACCTATATATTTATGCAGAGAGAGGGTCGTCACTCTTGGTGCTGAGACAGTGAGCTGAGCTCCACAACCTGGGAAAGGAGCCTTCCTGCACTCCTCTGTTCCACCCTGCCTGTAACAACTCCCAGCATCAAAGGGATGCAGACCCCACACAGAAATACACCACTTTAAGGAACAAGCAGCACAGCCCCTGAGAAGGCACAATCCCTAACCTTAATACAGAGGTTAACTCCTGAAGAAAAACCTCCCCAGAGCCAGAAAGGGCAGGGATATATTTGAAAAAGTAGCTGTGATTCTCCCTGTTGGAGAAATTGCTTTAAGAAAGAAGGTAGAGCTAGTCTCTCTTTACTTGCCATTATTATTGTTGGCACTCCTGATGGCAAAAAGAGCAAATTCCTGCATCTCTTCTGGCTCGCCCGCCCCCAACTGCTCACAGATCTCCTGCATGATCTCCTTGACCACCTGCAGCGAGGAAAAAAGCAGGTAAGTACCATGGCCAGGCAAGCCCAGTTCAGCCCCAGAACAGTCAGACATGCTGGGCCTGGTGGAAAGCAGCAGTACAGCTCTGGCCACGGCAGAGGGAAACGGGCTGGGTGAAGCATCCCAGCACCGCACAGTCTCCACAGAGATGGGCTACTACAGGGATTCTTAGGAAGGGCATGGGAAACCATCACAGAACTGAGGGAAGTGTAGGACAGGTCCAAAGGTTGACAGTTAAGCAAATTCTGTGGTATTGCTCCAAGTCCAGATCAATGGAGAAATGCAAAGCAGAAAACTCACCGTGAATGTCCTGATTCGGGCAACGTATTCCACTCCTCCAGGCATCGATATCTCCAGCCGGCGGGCACTACGTCCTTTCTGCAAAGGACAGTCTTTAGGCAGCAAGACACACAGGATCCCATCTGCCCCACAACCCTTTCTCCCTCTTCACTCCTCAGCTCATCCTCTCACTACTTGCCCGCAGTACTTGACTCTTCCCCGCCCATATCCCTGTCTATGGGGCATTTCGCTTCCCATTTCCCTTACGGACACATGCCTGATGTCCTTTCTTGGAAGAGTAACTGTTCTTGCTTCCCACTTCTTCCATATGTAGTAAGGCTTCACATGGAACCTCCTGCCAAGCCTCTACCCTCCCTCTCTTCCCAACATCCCAACTCCTCTGCCCGTCAGTACCAGCAACGCCTCTAACTCCACCGGGAAAGGAAGGTGGCGACGACCCCCATACATGAAATTTTTCCGCAGGTTGCTCTGACAGATCTTGGCTACATCTGTAGGAAAAGAAAAAATGCTGAGCCAAGCAGATGACTAGGCGTTGTCTCCTACAGTTTTGGGTCTTCCTGGCTGTGTTGTTTAACCTCGTGCCAACATGAGGAGAGGAAAGAGACCCCTACTCTGCCAGGAAACGTCCAAATCATGAGGAGCCAGCCCCAGACAGTGCCTAGGGCAACAGGAGTACACATGAATGCCCAGACAGAACTAGAACCCTCTTTTCTGAGAGGATTCAAACCCAAATACTTCACAGCTGATGACTGCTGAAGACCACAGCCTGACTTTCCCCCAAGACCTAGCTACCAAAATGGGCTTAAGTCACAGGGCGCAGCTAAGTGTCAAGGAGAGAGACAATTCCACTTTGCTTGGGTGAAAATGCAATGGAAAATAACCTCTGCAAACAGAAAGACTACTGATACAAAGCAGACTTTCACCTACAAGTTCAGCTCCCTCAGTATCCCGCTCATTTCTCCTCCCTGACAAGATAAGGGAGATTTCCTAATTGGACCATGTTCCCACCTAGATCCTGCCTCCTTTCCTTAACTACTGGGCCTTTGTAAAAAGAGGGCAGACATTTATTCTACAGGACACAGAAACAGCCATACCATGGTGAGTGCTGGATGGATCACTGCTAGCTTGCTGCAGGAACTTGGTGGCGTAGGGCATCAGGATTTTGGAAGGGAGGAAGTACCCGGTGAGCAGGTTGAGGAGCAGCCAACCACGCAGCACACCCTCCCTGTGGGACAGAAAGAACTGTGGGCACCTTGGAACAAGGCAATTCCTGTTCCATCCAGCTCAAAGTGACCCTCTGCCCTTCTGACCACTGACAGGAGGTGCCAGTGAACAGACAGTGGTGGGGACACAGCTGGGGACAGTACACCATGAAGGGGCAGCCTCTGCTCCAGCCCTGCCATCCACATAGCGAGGCAGACAGCTCCCCTCCAGCCAGGCACAGCAGCTGACACTGCTGGTACTTACTCTTTGTGGTTGAGAGTGACCTGTTTGATGACCTGGCAGTAAACTTCATCATGCAAATTCTCCTTCTCCTTGCACAGCTGCATTCAGAGAGAAGGGAGCATCAGAGAGGTGAAGAGAGCATCAGAGAGGCTCCGGGTCATCTCTGTGCCCCTTCTCTTCCAGCTCCTGAGCTTTGCCAAAAAATTGCAGACTCCCAATGTGACTTAAAGCTTGGGCACGACAACCTCTGGTCTGTAGTGCTATATAGGCTCCAGGAAGCAGGCAGGTTGTGCTCTCATCCAGAAAGTGAAGCCCAGGGAAAGCTTCTACATGCACTGACACCCACAAACCCCCGCCCATATTTTTAAATCATCCTCTCTGTTTCAGCTCCTTTCCTCACACAGGGCATTGTATTATGGCTCTCCCCCTTTCCTACAAGGTCTTGGCCCCTTATTCCCACTGGCACTTGCCCAGAGGAAGGTCACAAACCTGAAGGATTTCAAGGACACACTGAATGTCATTCTGGTTCTTGAGTTTTGGCTGATCTCCCATGAACCGCATCAGAGCTGCAAAGCAAAGGACAGTATTTAGGTCTAAGCAGAGGTGATCCTGCCATGCGGCAGGCAGTAGACTAGACAATGTCCTGAAGGCCTTTCTGCTCCACAGGCTTTAGTAGGCATGCACTGGACAAGTGTTCTGGGTGTGGCATCAACCCAGGCAGTGTGTGTTCTCGAACACTTTGCAAAAGGCAAAGTGCATTTTGCTGGATGCTTTCAGCAAGGACAAAGGTGGCTGTTAACAGCAGAAGTGTGTAAGGAGCTCTTTCCTCTATTTTCCCTCTCTGGTGCCCACGTGTGGCCAACCAAGAGCATCTCAATCAACCGTGCCCCATTCTGTCCTAAGGAATACTTACTTAGGAAGTTTTTCGTAGCAAGTTCGTTCAGTTCAATATCAGAGTACTGGAGCAAGGATGCCTGGATTGGGACCTGCAGGGCCCAAACACAAGGGTGAGCTGGGGAGGCAGATCAGCACAGAGCTGTGCTGCGGGCTTCACAGAAGACAACAGCTCCTAATATCTCGAAGGCAGCATTGAGGAGTAGGGGTCACCTATATTTCTGCATTGACTGGAGCCAAAAATCTGCACTCTGCTCTTTGCCATGTGGGGACAAAGCTAAAGGTGATGCTGGAGCTGGGATTCTGCCTGTAACAGGGAAAAACTGGGCTCACCTTGGTGTGGTGGACGAGGTCAGCTATACTCTTGTTTTCAGCAGGCATCCCCTTCGATCCCAACCTAGCCAGAGGAGAAGGAATATAAACCAATCCACGAAATATCCCCCAGAAATGGCTTGGTGTGGGTCAGGCTACACAGGTCTTGTGCATGCCTGCTCAGGAAGGAACAACAGCCTACTCACATGGACTGAGCCTCTCGGAAGTGGGCTGCGGCAAAATCCATCATGGTGTAATGATCACCAGCAGGGACTGACATGAGGCTGCTGTTATCTGATATCAGGCTGGGAACAGAGCCCTGCAGGGACAGACACCAGACTCACCCTGAAAGGTCAGCTGAGGAACTACAGCGTGCATTCTCCTTGTCTGCAAGACCTAGAAATGTCTCATCTATGTGTGGTGCTTCTGCTACCACTATGATAGTATTTGAGTGCCTCTGTCTCCAAGGATTAAGCAGTTATCTCCTTCCCCCTAACTCTGGAGGTCAGACACTACACCAGGGCCACGGACCTATCCTGGCAGGTCCCAGAGAACACAGCCATATCCCCTAGCAGTTCCCCAAAGACAACTCACCTCCCTGCTAGTGTTCCTGCCCTCCGAAGCTTTCATGCTCTTCCGCAGCCCTCCAGCTCTGTCCATGCTGGTGCTGAGGTAATCAGGGGCTGCAGCCAACTGTACCAGGTTGGTGGGGAAAATACCAGAGCGGCCACCAGTGGAGCCAAACTGCCAGCCTGAAGAAACAGGGGAGAAGAGGAGTCAGGAACCATGGCAGCTACAAAGAGAAACAAGCAGCGAGGCACCCATCTGACAAAGGAGAGCATCAGTCTCTGACCAGGCCTTCCTGCATCCTGAGTTAACATACCCTATAACTGTGGCAAAATGAACAATGTGGGTCACAGTCAGAGAACTGGAGAGCTGAAGGCTGGCAAGGCCAGCCCTTAACAGACTGCTTTCCTCTGGTTTACTCAACAGCAGCATGTAGGGCTTCTGGGCACCATGGGTCCAGTGGGCCCTTAAACACAGTCCCACCTTTCCTGTTGATCCCAATAAACTCCCTCACCTGGCTCCAGGCCTTGCATGGGCAGGAGCTGGATGAGGTCACCCTTCTTGAAGCTAAGGAGGCTCTTATCATCCGTGACATAGCTGCGCAGAGCAACGACATAGTTGGTGTCCTGGGAAAAAAGCAATGGGGAGGTCAAATCTTGTCCCCAAAACATGAGAGACCCAGAACATGTCACCCCATGGACCCTGTCAGGTTCATGTAGGAAAATGCTTCAATTCTGTGTTGCAGTACAGCCACTCCCTCACCTGTCTCAGCTCCTGGATGAAGGTTTCCACCATGGCCTTGATGCATGGAGCTTTCCGAGAGTGCAGAAAGAGCTGTTCTGTCTTCAGAGAGAACTCCAGGGCACTGCTGCCCTTCAGCTCCACTGACAGCACATCTGCAAAGCTGAGAAAACAGCCAGCATGCTCAGACTGCTTCTGCCAGAGCTATGGGGTGCAGAGCACAGGGATGGGAGTTCTGCAACTTGACATCACAACTTGACATCCTGCAACTACCACCCATGTTCTTCCGCTGACCTGTAGCTGCAAAGGATCTTCAGGTGCTCAGGAGTATAGCCAGATGCTTTCACTACTTTCAGCAGCCGCAGGCCGCGGTGAGAAACACCCAGGATCTGGACATCACTTCCATTTTCACCCTGCAAGAGAAGTGCAGCAGAGTGCAACAAAGGCTCCTTCCCATGTGGACAGGATGCAGGAGAGGAAGATGCTAACACATGCACCACGAAGGAGGCCCTGGGCTAACAGAAGTGTCAAACCCAGCAACATTTTCACAATAGTTTGGAAAACAGAGACTTCAATAAAGGAGACAGAGGAGCAGGACTCTGAGGATGCAGAAAGGCAAATGGGAGAACCTGGGGGACAGGAACACCACTGGCAGCAGCCAAGCAAATAGCCTGGACAGAGAAATGGTTAGGAAGGACATCAGAATGATGCAAATATGTAAGCAAGGAATAAGAGCAGAAAGGTACAGAAAGCACAGAAGACTGAGTGATGTGTGGCCAGGTAAGGGAGAGAAAGCCAGGACAGAAAGATCCCAGGTGAACCAGAGCTACACAACTACAGTAAACGTAGGGTATGTTGAGAAGATTAATACTCACGTGAACTGGGAAAAGGCGGGAGAAATAGTTAGCCCAGTTATCCCGAGCAGCCAGTACAATCCTCTTCTTTATCCCATCCTCCTGAATGGACTGGACATCATTGCCAACTCGAAATTCCGCTAGCAGGGATACAAAGCAGATACTTTCTCAGCAAGACAAACATGGCAAAGTCTCCCTCTGCCCAGGGAGATTTATTGCCACCATTCCCACTCAGTGATTACAGAGCAGCCATTAGCATGCAGAGGCGAAAGGATACCACAATGGGAAGAACCAAAATAACTTGCACGTGCCAGTGTGCTACTAGGTTTTTCTCCTCCTCTCCATTAAGCTCCTGTCAAAGAAGAGAGCTGGATTTTGAGACAACTCAAAATCCAATACTTAGGCTTCAGTTTCCTCTCCCCACAAGGCATCGTAATTAAGTTTTTCTGGCTCAGGGAAATTTCAGAACCATGTTCTGGCCATTTGGAACAGGCAACCATGGCACTACACACAGCAAACACAAATATGTTTTTTTGCTGCAAGTGACAATTCTTCTCAGCCCTAAAGTCCTGACTGAAAGGCCATGGAGGTTTTTTTCTTGTTTGAAACTAAATGCTGGGATGGGCACAAGGAGGAGGGGAGGATGGGGATGTTAATTACTCAGCAGGTCTTTCATCTTGCGCTTCTCCTCTCTGGAGATCCGAAGGCAGGAGTTAGAGAAGGTGTCACGCATGATCTGCAGAAGAAGGAAACAGAGAGGCTTCCATGGAAAGGCTGAGTGTGTTGAGGCTGTTAAAAAATGAGTTAAAGAGAAGAAAGAGCAGGGGCTTGACTAGATGAACCTGGAGAAGGGACTGAGACCTCTAGCGATGCAGAAGTGAAGGCAGTTTATGCAATGTAATCATGCAGTACTTTGTCTCCATGGTGAGATATAGCAGTCCGAGTCATACATCAGTACATACCTGTTCACACAGCAAGTTCAGACAATAAGGGTGACTGAAGTTTTCTTTGGGGTAGAACACCTGCAAGAGGAGGATAAATACAAAACTGAGATTACGTATGTTTACAGATGTTGCACAAGTTGTTGCATCCCTTCCCAGGGATGTTGTATAATCCATGCGTCCTACTGCCAGAGAGGAGTGAATCAACCTCCAAGTCTAGGCAGGGATGAGAGACGGCAAATAGGAACAAAAGAACCAAATGTGAACAGGAGTGAAGGATCAAAAATAAAGTGGTGAGACCATGGGATGAGCTTTGGACAGTTTGGTGCACTTGATTCTAAACACATTTGTACTATTTACACAGAAAAGCACCAGGTAACAATGTATTTATTTGTAGATCTCTCACTGCTTTACAGGGGAAGAGAAGGACAGATAGGAAAACTGAGATGCATGAGTCAGCAAGGCAGAGTAGGACCTGGATTCCTTGACTATCAGATGGGCAAGTAACTCCCTTCTCCTGCGTCGTATGATGCCCTCTCTGAACTGCTTTAGTGTTGTTACGTCACACTGGTTGCAAGTGACAAAAAGCAATTTTAACCTAACGTGGGACCACTTCTCTTCCCCTACAGCCAGCCCTCAGCTAATCAGCTGTACCTCTTTGCGCAGAAAGATTTTCCAGGCAGGGTTGGCATAGGAAAAGCTGACACTGGCAGTTAATTTATACAGCTGGGTCTTGATACCATCATCTTCTATTGAAGAGCCTGGGTGAGAAGAAAGAGCAGTGAAGATGGGCTTTGGTGATTACAGGGTCACCTGTCAGAGACTTACCAAGAGAAAGGGTACAGTACCATGTGCCTGACTGAAGATTATTACAAGCAACCCTCCTGAAGGACAGTGATCAGCTAACATGAATGCATGCGCAGAAGTCATCATGTGATAGCATGTGTATTTACTGTATTAGCCACAAAATTCAGTGCTTATAATAAAAACACTCCAGAAACAGGGAGCACACAGTGTCCCAGGCAAACTAGTGCCCCTGTTCTTAAGCTCAAAGACACAGTTTCACTCTATGTCATTATAAAAAGGCTATTAAAAGGATTCAAAAGGACATAAAAGCTCTTTCCTGAGCTTGTGGACTGCAAGTTTCTAGCACAATGCATCCAGTACTTGCACTGGATTTTCTCTCTGCAGGAGATCTATTAAAGATAGGCTCAGTTGGTAGGCAACCATTCAAAGGTATTGCTCTACGAGGTAGGAATGTCTTCATTTACGCAGTCACAACTTTTGAAACTTCAGAGTTAACAGACAACCAGAAATACAAAATATCCCACAGTTCAGCTGTTTCTATATCCCTATTCAAAGGAACGTAGGGAATTTTCAGGCTAATCCAGTTACCAAGATTTGCTTTCACAGAACTTCCTAAAGATCCATCTTTTAAAAGAAAGAGGGCGGGAACACGAGGAAATTCTTTTATAACAGGGAAGCTACTGTGGGATGGAGTCCTACAGTAATGTGCTTGGGCAGACTGTTTTTGCACATTATAAAATGTGATGCTGATGAGTGTTTTAGATAGCTTGAAACACTTTGGTACATGCATCCAAAACAGTTGCCAAAGTATTACATGAATTACTGCTCCAGGCTCCCACTGAAACTCAGAGGCCAAACCTAGGGCTGAATAACACTTCCAAACTACTGCTGGAAAGAATTAGCTTTGCCATTTTTCAAGTGGGCAGTATCCAAACAGCTTCCTTATGCATCCAGCGCCTCAGCTCTCTCGTTCTTCCACAAAGAACATTCCCTCATTCCTCAGACTATCTTTAAGAACCCTCCAGAGGTTCTAGAATGTAAAACACCTGCCTTCCCATTCCTCCCTCGTCTAAAGTCCATCCACTGGATTGCAGCTTTAACAGGGTAGCTATGCATCAAGTAGGCAATAAAACATGTTGTGGACTGGACCTTGACAGAGCTGTAGCCCAAAGGTCCTTTCTTTATTTAGCTCCATTTTTCAGAGGGACCCAGCCCTTCCTTCGTCATTTGCACCTGACATCCTGCACTGGAAAGAGAGAGCTGGGAAGCACCATGCTGAGTGCTGGGCCAGACTCAAACTGCAGTGACAGTCTGTCTGATTTCACACAGACTGCTCGGTCTTTGGCTAGCTGGCGAATGACAGATCATGTGCTGTGACTGTCCCAGGCTGCTAGGCTGAATCTGCCCCATTATCTTCTATCAAATCCCACTTGTGAGAAGTCAACACTCACCCTTTGCTGTGAATTCCTGTGAGTCTTGGTTCCCAGGCAGGAGAGATGTGGGCAAAGGTGGGGGAATAGGGGGAGAAAGAGGGGTCTGGGGATCTGGTGGGGTACTTGGTGGCTGGCTGAAGATGGACAGGAGAGGCAACTGTTTCTCCTTGATAGAGCTAGAAGCTGAACCTGGCTTGGGCTTGGGAGGTGGAGGTGGCCCTTTGGGACTCTTCTCTTGCGGTACAGGGGGAGGCTGCAAGACAGCAAAACCATTCGATACAGTCATTCTCTGCATCACTACACGCTGACTGACGCGGCTGTTAGAAATAATACCCAGGGCAGCAGCCCAGCCCTGGGAGCAACATCTGTTTGAGCAGAAATACCAGAAGCTTTAAATCAGCATACGATCTACAAACAAATGAAGATTAAGCAAACCCAGGTGCAGAGAAACAAGTATTTGAGATTGGACCTTATAGTTGGGAAAAGGAGAAAAAGGCGTTAATAGGCCAAGACATCAAGAACTTGGGGCCAAATGTGAGGAACATGAATAGTTGTCTCTCAGGTGCTTGCTTCCAAATCAGTCTTAAACATTCCACAGCAGGACTTGCAGCAGCAGAGCCCTTTCTCCAGGACCTCAAGAGACTTTACAGTCTGCAACCCAGGAGATGCAACACTGTGATATGATTTCACAGCTATCTATTTACACTACAGGAAATCACCTGGCTGCTAGTGCACTATGAGATAGCTCCCAGCTGGGGGTTGGATACACAGACCCTCTCTGCTGAGGTGACCAGAGAGAAAAGCACTCACTGATTTGGGAGAATTGGGATTCACCATCCCTAGCTTGGCCAGAGCCTCATCTTTGGGGTCATTCCTCTTCATAAATGGCTTGGACACTTTCCTGCAAGACAAAGGGGGAACAGAGGTGTTAGGGCTGCAGCAGGGCTGTGGCCACATATGGAGCCACATAGCAGCGCTGGGATACAGTCCCCTTCGTCTCTCTCCTGCCACGTGGGTGGCTCCCACCCTCTCACCTGATGGGCTCGATGGGCTGGGGCTCGGGGGCAGGCCTGCTCTGGTACATTTTGATGATGTTGCGGATCTCTCGGCTTGGTTCAGGTCGTGATGCAGGGCCCGAAGGTTTCACTACTGGTGGCTCCTTCTTTGGTTTTGGCGTCTGCTTTTTTGGCTTTGGCTCAGGAGGTGGCAAAGGGGGAGCAGGAGCTATTGGGAGTAACAGCTTTAAACACCAAGCCAATAAAAGCACAGGAGAAATCCTTTTATCTCATTTGATTCTCCCTCTCTTTCACTCCTTGGCTGACAGGTATGGCCTTCCCCCACCCTGCTTTAGGATCCCACTTCCCAAAGCGCAGGCCCTTCTCGCTCCTCTGCTGTTGAGACTCCCAGGAGAGACAAATCTTTTCTTCTTCTGGCTACATCCTGAGCTGATGCTCATTCCTGGAGAGCTCTTGCTTATCAGTCTGCCCGGGTCTCCACTGCACGTCATCTTACCTGCCTCTGGTTTAGGGCTGGGCTTCTCCTCCGTATTCTTCTTCTCCTCCTCTTCCTTCTCCTCGTGCTTTGGCTGAGGATTTGCTGGAGGGGTCCAGACTTTGGAAGGTGGCCTGACTTTCTTCACTAGGATCTTTTGCTCTCCTACATTGGAAGAGGGACCTGAGCTAGTTAAACTTAGCCAAAAATTAGCATTAATGGTACAGTTTCCACTCTTGCATCAGTCAGCATAAGCTGGTGCTTTCTAGAGGCAAAGGAGAGCTTGGCAGTCAGAAGCCCAAAAATTTCTAGAAAGTTGGCAACACAACACCCCATGATCTTAACTGTAGCCAGCTGAGCAGGCACATACACTGTGTGCTACACAGAGTACAAGAACTCCTGAAGGGATTAGTTGGATTCCATATAGAGAGACAAGAACCCAGCTGTTACGCCAAGGAGGCTGCAGAACAAGGTGTTACAAATGAAACTCCCAAAGTGGTCAACACTCACCCATCTTCTGAAAATATGCTCGCTTCTGCTGGAAAGTTTCACGAGGATTGTCATCATCTTCACTGTCAGAGTACTGGTCTTCTGCGTAGTCATCAACCTGCAGACAGTTCACAATATGGTCAGTTAGTACTAGCCAGCAAATACCTCTGTTGTGCCTTTGAATTCAGAGATGATCTTCTGTGGGTGGGTTTGGACTCTGATCCAGAACTTCTCTCAGTCTCAGAGTGTTCTAAGAGATCAGTCTCTGACCAAAGGAATCATCAACCCAGTCCAGAGAAAGAGGAGCATGTTATAGCTCCAAGACAGCTTGCTGAGACACAAAGAATTCAGAGCCATGAAGTTTCCTATACACCATGAAATTCAGATCAGCTGGGAATAAATTGGCAACACCGCAGCCAAACCACAGACCTTAATGTCACCATTTTTGACCCTGTATCTTAAAGACTGAGCAAGTGAAGCTTGAAAGGCCTGCGTCATAAGTAAATACTTATACTAATACATAAGTATATACAGCTCTCAGCCCTCCTCTCTGTCAAGCCATTGCCGGACTTGAAGGGAAGTACAACAAATGCAAAGCATGACATTCAAACCCAATTCACAACCACTGTTTGTTTCTCATACCACTTCTGCCTGAGCTGGTGGTTCTGGAGCCTTTGGTGCTGGTGGTGGTGGTGTAGCACTCTGGCTGCTGGGAGGTGACTTGGGTTTGGGGAGAGTGGCTGGGGCCTGGGCTCGTGGTGGACTTGAGGCTCTTGGCCTCGAGCTCTCATAAGACTGTTGCCGCCGCTGCTGTTGCTGCTGCTGCTGCTGCTGCTGTTGCTGAGAAAGGGTCATGGCTTGAAGGGTCATCTGCTGGGCCTGGAAGAAGGAATTTTTTTACTCACCCTATGGTGTCTCAGTGTCCTCATGTACACAAACAGGCAAAAAGGGTTATTTCCAGGTTTGCAGTCTTATTTAACCCTGACTTTATATACCTAACCTCAGCACATAAGCTCAGAGCATTACAGAGCAGGCCTAAGGCAGAAGGGGAGCATGGTAGGCTCCTCACAGCACATACCCCCATGCATTCTCCTTTCCCCATTCTGGGACCTCTCCAACCAGTCCCTTCTACTCACCATGAGCATGGCTTGTTGGTTGATAAAGGCTTGCTGTTGTGCTGCTAACTGATTGGGATCTACAGCTGGCATCACAGGCTGGGGCATAACCATGGCTGTAGAAGACACATACAACACCCTCAGGCGATCATTCCCCACGCTGCCTGAGCAGCAGCCCAGAGCTGAGAGCTCACTGTGTATTCAGCCTGACATTCCGATGCACAGGCTCCGTTAGGATGCCCACCCTTTCATCCCCTTTCCCTGTACAGTTACTGAAGCTCTGAGTTATTACCTGGCATAGGTGCAATCCCACCTGCCCCTGGCATCATGGGCATGGCAGCTGGCATCCCCATCATCGAAGGCATGGGCTGGTAAGCTGGTGTTTGCATCATTCCGGGGAAGCCTAGAGGCAGAAGGCCACACGTACAGGACTTTCAGGGAATCATAGATCAGGAAGCCCTGATCAGTCCCACAGAACACGTCACATAGGCTGCGTACTTCTGGTTCTCTTGGCATGCACCAACCACAGGGACATGCAAATGCTTTCTCTCTTTATACACAGCAGGATACACCACAAAAGTCAGGTGGACAGAGGAAACCAAAGAGAAATGTGTGGCCTGCTAGACTTAGCAGGATGCAGACCCTGCTACTGCAGTCATGTTTAGGACACCACGTTCTTCCTGACTACCTTATGCCTGTGTATGATTACAGAGAAGGGTTTCTCTTGAAGGATGGGCAAAAATCTCTGGGACTGCCAAATCCATGTGGGTCTCTTTACAACAAGTAGCTGCCAAGTACGCAGAGCTCCTGAAACCATCCCAAGGCCTCAGCTATCACTGAGATAGTGTCTCATTAAAGGCGACTTATCAGAGAGTCAAACATTTGCCTGTTTCAGAGCCCTGACAAGGACTTTTAATGAGACAGTTTCACAAAATTGAATGTATTTAATAAGGTGACAGACATGGCAGATTTGGAATTGCCACTGACAAACACACTTACTGCAACAGCACTAATATACAATAACAGCGCTAATAAAACGCTATCCCAAGTATTCCTCGCCAAAGGGTGAAGAGCTTACCAAGAAAGCATCCCTGTATTGGTGGAGAAGGACAGCCCACAGGCTGTTAGAAGGCACAGCCCACTGCCTCCTTCCAGGTTTCCAATTCCTTCTTACCCTCCTCTCCACCCTCTGCTCTTTTTTCCTCTTTTTTTTTTTTTCTCTTAACACTAACTTTTACTAACTCCTAATACTCTTTTATATGCTGACCTTATCTGTTCCTCCCCGAGGTGACGTTTTGCATGATTTTGGTGAAGAGTCAAGTACTACAATCCAGGTTGGTGCTTATCAGTGACAATAACAAGTCTGACTGTTCGCCACAGATAGCCTGGGATCCCCACCCTGCTGAGAATAGCCAAGTCTTGGGCTCCGTACAGATAAAGAAAAGTAAGGAACCCAAACACACAAACCAGAACCTCTACAGAGTTCAGACTTACTAACCCATGGAATAGCTAGAAATGATGGGAAATTCTGAAAAGAAGCAATTTAAAAAAATCAAAATGAAAACCCTTCCTTTGAAAAAGGCAGCAACTATTTTGGGAAAGCACAAGGTGAACAGTAAGTGAATACACAACTTATGAGTGCTGTACACTAGGGAGGAGATGGCCTGGGTCAGAAGCAAGCTATCTACTGCCTTGACCCCTAGACCAACTTGGGGGAGAAATTAAAAGCAGAACAAAGGTGATAACTTTACCTAGCACCTTCCCCAAAGCATCTGTCTCCCAGCACCTGGGAACAAGTGCAACTTCTGATGACTTAGGCTAAAGTCAAATGCTCTTTGTGAATCAGCTGAGCCCCGAAAGCAATTAGCATTCGAGGGGCTCCTTGGCTTTTACTCATTGAAGCTTATGAACCACTGCAGGTGTTTTCAGCTGTCTACATCCCCTTACAGACCTGTAGAAGGAAACATTCCTCTCTGTGTGGGTCCAATCTTCCCACCTCCCTTCATGCGTCCAGTCAGACTCTCCCTGTTCTCCAAATCCTGCGTCAAGAAAAAACAGCTTTATCTGAGCTCAGGCAGATGGACTGCACAGTGGGATGGCCATCCAAAGGCATATCTGAGCAAAAGCAGAGTTAATAGACAGGGGTACGCTTGAAGGAGTCACAGGGAGAGAAGAGCTGCAAAGAAGAAGTCAGGGGGAACATCAGTGGACTTACTGGAACTCTGGGGCCTTGATGCAGTACAGTGCTGAAGAGGTCATCCACATAGTGATCCAAGCCTACGGGTTCCCCCCGGCCATCTCTGAATCTTGAATCTACAAGTGGAGAGGAGTCAGGTTATAAGGCAGGTAAGGAACATTCCCATCTCCGGACCCTATTAGACAGTCATATTTTGGAGCGGAGCCCTCCTTTGTTCTACATCAAGACGAGTCTCCCCTCTGCTCTGATTTCCTGGCTGGGGCATATCTTATCAGTGCTGTTCACAGTCCCGAGCAAGAGCTCACCTCGATGGGCATTGCTGAACTCCGGAGGCAGGCTTGGTGGTGGAAAGGTAGGGGCCTGGATACCTGGGGCAGGGGGAATCCTGTTGAAGGGAAAAAATAAGATAAGGAAAGCACAGCATGATGAGACAGAGATAGGCCACCGGATGATAGGGCCAGAAGCTTTGGGGCAGGAGGACAAGGTGACTCACGAATCCATGGCAGAGTTCAGGAAGAAGTTTCTGTCCCTTTCAGGTGTGATCGGGTATCCACCTGAAGACTGAGAGGTGCTGCTGGGGTTGCTGACATCTTCCATCTCTCCGATGAGGTCCAGCACAAAGTCACAGCCCAGCAAGTCCTGCCACATGTTGCCAGTAAACATGGAGATAGACCAGCCTCGAGACTTCTTATCACAGCCCCTGGTAACAGGGAAAAGAAAGAGGAAAAGGATGTCAGGATATACAGGAGGAAAGAGAAGAAGGAAAACATTGCATTCAGTTTTGTCCTGCCTTGTCTGTCCTGGCATCTTAAGTCCTTAAGCTTTAGGGTGTGAATCAATGATTAAGTGCCCAGGGTCAGGAAAATATATGAATCAGTATTTGTCTTTTTTTTTTTCTTTTAATCTTTTCTCTGAAGCTGCTCTGACAGATCACACCACTGATTCGTCTGTTCCTAAAGAGGCCCACAGTTCATGTACACAGATGGAAGGGGATAGGGAAAGACCATGAGCAGGAGTGGGTAAGGAGTGGCTATTCCACATCTGACCATATAAAATTCCAGCCTGCAGCCCCAATTGATCTGAACCCTAAAACCAGCGATAGCCTCTTGCACATCCCCAGATCTCTTATCCTCTGGCAGTACCTTGCACTTAGGAGACAGCCTGCAAACTGCTCTCCGGTCATCCAGGACTCCACCTCAGCTGAGAACTTCTCCTCTAGCACATAAAACAAAGAGTCAGTACACACAGCCTCCCAGCAAGACCCAAAACATCACTAAAGCTCTGCCGGGCACAGGCAGAGCCCAGCTGGAAAGCCCAGCTGGATGGCACATCTCAAAGCACTTTCAGACTGACAGCTGAAAGTCCTTGCAGTGTCCTGGTTCACTTGGGCCACCACCCCACTGACCAAGGTGCCAGAGCACGGATGATCTGCATCTGATTCACACAGGTTCTATGCACTCATGGGGCAGCATAAGCCAGTATTTGAGAAGGAAGAAAGGTTCAGAAAGTCACTGTGACAAAGGCAGTACCATGGTTTGCATGGGCTATGCAGTAATGGGTAACGGGAAAACTAAACACAGAGAAATGCAGAACCAGGACAGCCCTCTGTTGAAATGGGCCCAAACCCAGAAGAATCTTATCCTTCAGCCTGAGTGGCAGGTCTGAGCTCATCAGAATCAGACTTTGGAGTTTGGGCTCTGGATTCAGATGCTTCTATCCCCCACTGTTGCACCAGCCAGAAGCAGTCAGTCTGATCACTCTCCACTAAACTGCGGGAAGCATCTTCTGAATGCTGATTTTTGCACTGGAAAAGTCCTTAGAGACTAGAAGCACAAGTTACCATTAAAGGTATGAACATCCAGCACCATCTTCCCTTTCCTCTGGTTTGCAGTCCACTCCAGCTGAGTGGGAGGATAGGCTCGGGAGAATGCAGTGTCTGTGTGCTGTGCTGCTGTCAAGATCTTACGCTGGCAAACAGCATTGAAGCCATCCATGCCATGATCTGACACAAATCTAGGAAAAGAAAACTGCCTTTGGCATGTTGCTCATTTTTCTTAATCTTAATGAAAGTGTAGCTAGCTCTTTCTCCTCCTTACTTCAGCAACGGCTTCTCCAGTGCTGGTGAAGGGACAAAGGAGCTCAGTAAAGTCGCCATCAGGACCCAGGCTCGCTGGCTGTGCTCCACATCTGGGTTCTTCCATGTCTGGGTGACCACTTGACTGAAGATTTCATTGCGCAGAGCCACGTTATCCAAACCTTTCCTAGCAATGTAGTTGCCCAGAAGTACTTCCTGCCAGCCGTCAAGGTTCTGGTCACCAATGAACCGTAAAATCTAGAAGCATTCAGGGAGAAAGAGAGCACTTTAACTGCAACCCTCTGGCCTGAATTGTGTTGCGAAGTGACAACCTGAACTGTAAACACCAGGGTGTTTGTGAGCCTAAGAGCTCTCAGATCTACACATTTTCTCATGCTATGTGCACCACCTAAGTTCTGAGGAATTTGGGAGGCAGTGCTCATAGGACAGGACCCTGACTAAAAGTCATCTTCAGTTTGTTCTTTACGCTGTTCTTCTGACTCAGAATTTGTTCTTGGGCAAAATATTTCTCCTTCTTTGAGCACCAGAGCTCAAACCTGCTAGCAACTTACTACAGGCTATTTGTTGTAGTATCTGAGACCACAGCTGCTGAGATGTAAAAATATGTAAAATAAATTGATGCTCAGCTGATAGTCATGAAAAGCTCAGGCAGCTAGACATGAGGAAATACTAACTGCTGAATGTTAAGCAGACTTTGGTGTGGTTAACAGTAAAACAAGTAGTATGAGATGTATTACGCTCAACCACATTACACTTAAGCAATGATTCAGCTTCTTAGCTATGCATATCACCATTTTACATGCTTTTTTTTTCTTTCATCCCCTACAGTGTAGTATGTCGCTAGATTCTTTTTTTTCTAAAATTTGCTATGGACAACTTTGGAGAGGATATTTTTTCCCTCAGATAATGCCTTAAAATGGTTAATGGTAGTATGCATGACAGACACTCAACTGAGAAAACCAGGAGGTGGAGATTGTTTAGTTCTCATGGAATTCTTTGTAGTAAATCCCTATGTATTACAGTCTTTGCCAAAGAAATAACTAATTTTTTTGATTAGCAATTGAGAGAAAAGATCATGTGATCTTGAGGAAAAATAATACTCATCTGCTCAAACACAACCTATCCACAAGATATTGAAGCTTATATTCTTCTGCAACTGAGATCATTAGGACAAAACAAGGCACTGGTTTTAGGTATTACATTTCCTAATGGGCTTATTTTAATAACATGCAATTCTCAAAAAGGTTAACACATTTGCTTAGAAATCATCTGCAGTTTCATTCTATTTTCTTAGACTAAACTTCACATCTTTAAGAAATGCGTTTTGCATCCACAGGGAAGAGGTGGTAACACTATCCTCCTTATGCAAACACTACAGAATTAAGGTGTGGTTCCAGGTGTAGTTTTCTTGACGACAAAGTCCCTGCCTTGTTCCAGACTTTATACAATAATTCACTGTCCCCCTATCGCATACTAACTTAACTGTATGTCTGAGATACCACCTCATGTGACGTCTGTCAGGCTGCTCCAATACTTTGAAGGAGCAGCAATTTATTCTGCTCTCTTCACACACCACGTATTGTAAGCATCTTGTTGCAGAAAGGCAGCAAAGAATTGTCTTACGCGCATCTGTTCTTCTAGGCTCTGGTCAAGGAAGACATCTCTTACCAGTTTGTTGATCTCAAGTGCACTCTCCTGGTATTCAGCTTCCAAACGGGTTAAAGGGTAATGCAGGGGATGGCCAGGGGCAGGGAAGTCTGTATTCTAAAAAGAAAAAGGATAGAAACATGCAGTTTGTGGCTGGTATCACTAGAATAGCATGTTTCCCTGGGAGGGAAGCAATGAAGAGAAATAAAGAGAGTTCCCACCTGGAAGTGTGACTTAATGAAGGAGGAGAAAGGGTAGCTGTTAATGGTGGATGGGAGGGAGAGGTCATCTTTGATCTTGACTTCTGGAGGTAATGCCTCAGTTATCTGGTTGGCCTGTGCTCTATATTGACCTGCAAGAGAAAGAGGTCTTAGAATCACAGAACGACTTCAGTTGGAAGGGACCTTAAAGATGATCAAGTTACAACCCTCTGGCAATGGGGCAGGGATGCCACCCACTAGATCAAGTTGCCCAGGGCCTCACCCAACCTGGCCTTGTGTTATAACAGTCAGAAAGGCAGCCAGAATACATCTGGCGTGCAGTGCACAGTCTGCTCCAATTCACAAGACTCTTCTGCTTGATTATACCTTTTATTGGATTACACAGGTGGCCAAGATATAGCTGTCATTTTGTTAGATGCTATACCAACATAACAAGGAGGTTAATCTTACCTCAACCCATCTGCAAATTAAACATACGCATTGTACAGAGTTACAGAGGAAACAGAAACGAATATAACATTGTTCAAGATGAGGTAAACAGCTTGGGAAGTTATTAGTGATATTTGGAAGGAAAAAAAAAAAGCAAAACAACTATTCTATCCCAAGCAAAGCATTCCCTTTAAGTTGTTACATTGTTTAAACCCATTTCTAATTTAAACCCATTCTAATTTTTTAAAAAATGGACTTCTGAAGAAGTGATTTGCAATTTAAAAAATGAATGTTTCTTTGAAAGAGCCAGAATTCTAGTTTTGACTTTTTAACCTTTAATTTCTTTAAGGATTTTGGAGAAGAAGCCAGATGGGTTTGAGATCTCACACCCCAGATATCCAGCTCTGCAAGAAACCTGTGTTCATTAAACATTTTTGCTGTCACACAGCTTTGATCAAAAAGTTTTGTAACATCATTGTCACCAGTTACATCAGCAAAGTTCAACGACAGAGCTGAAAAGATAATAAAGATACTGAATTTTAATCTGGTATGCTGCCCACTGGCCCAAGTCACTTTTCCACTCTGCCATCTTGGGAAACAACACACACAATACCTTTTGTCTTTATCATATTTACACTGCAATGATAATAAATCAAATACAACCCAGGTGACAGACAGCAGGTAGAAAAGGCACATACATAATACACTGCTGGGAAACAAGGAAATAAACAGTGAAATAAAACAGTGCAGGAAAAGAGAGGATTTCTCACCTTCAGCTACCTGTAGCAGAGCAGCAAGCTCTGCAGGGATCTCCAGAAGTCCAACATCCTGTGGGGAGAGTGAGCAAGTCAACCACTGGGGTAGCAGAAGTGAAACGCCATAAACCCTGAGCTATTCTGCTCAGACTGGGTGAAGCTGCCTCTGAACAGCTGGTTGGAACAAGGATTGACCTCCTGAACAGCAACAGTCATTTCAGCATATACAATATTCAGAAACATTACAAAATAAGGGAGTAGCATATTAACACAGGTACATGGCATGGGTCAGCACAGGAGGGAAAGGTGAGTAATTCCTGACAAAAGTCACTGCCACAGGGGGCAGAGACAAGAAATTTGGCTTTCTATGACTCATCTCTCATTACTAACAAGTTTGTCATATTGCACAGAAGAGATTGTGTTTTAAGGGTAAGGAACCATTTCCACCTGCTCCTTTCTCCTTTTTTTTTTTTTTTTAACTATTATTTTTCAGTATCCAAGAGCTCTACAGCACAAATAAGAAGATAGCTGATCTTGATCTCTGATGCACATTGCTATTTTTGAGATTTCTAAGGACGTTCAGATCTGTAGTGGGATAATTCAGACGAGTATCTTAGAGAATAAAGCGTGTTTTGTTGTTGTTGTTTAACATCTGCGTAGTAAAGCCTCTACTCACCAGCATACTATTCTGCCATCTCTCTTCACATAACCCCTCAGCAAAGACAGAGTCACAGCTTTTCTATCTGTTTGATTTTGCTCCTGATAAGACGCTTGACTTAAAAACTAGCTTTTCAGTGGTGTGTTCAGGTAGCAGGCTGAGAAATCTCACACTCCTGGATCCTCATCTGAGGAAGCAGATGATATTTTAAGAGTACCCAGTGCTATATACTCCTGTTGTTGTTGCTAACAATTCCATGCCAAACCGTGGCTGATGTTGACACGAGTTTCCTTGCTATGCTCATCATAGTGAATGTATGTTCAGTCTAAACATGCAAATAATGACATCGGTTAGCAGTGTTCCTTTATAGCAACTGATACAGGTTAAACGCCCTGTACACTACGCAGTTATATTGCTATAAAGTATTTAGTAACTACTTTCCTGTAGAACATCTTCCATAAATACATTTGTGCAGAACTGCCTCATTCCTACCCATCACAACAGAAAAGGATTACCAAAAATTCTCTTCCTCACAGCTCCAAAGATTCAATCCAGTGCTGCAAACAAATACAGTACTCTGCCTCACGACCTTAGAGATGCTTGATTATGGCCAGAAATTGGAAAATGCTGACCTAATGAGGTAGTTACACTGTTGAAGGCTCTTTATAGCAGGCTTAACTACATCCCTGCTGCAAGGTTTCCAGCATACGTGTAGGTTTCGCATACTCTCCAGATGTTTTACTGCTCCCAAGCAAACCTTTCAGAGCAGCTGTCTGCATTATCAAGCCAGTCTAGAACCAAAAGCACTAATAAAAATCACTGCATCCATTTCAAACTGAATCCCAACCCAGGGGCAACCCTAACATGGTATTGTCTCAAACACAGCAGTAAGAGAATAACAAAAAGGGTGGAAGCAAACAAGGAAGCCTGAAGTGAAACTCCTGGATTCCCGAGAGACCTTGGTATTAATAAATAGAAAAGAAAATCCCAAACTGGGACTAGGCTTTGAGGAAAAGTCTTAAAATGCCTGGTGGAAAATGTAGCACCAGATATCAAGCATGTTCTTGTTCTTGACCTGATTTCAACAGCATCAAGTTTCTGTCACCTCCAGCCTATGTGTTCCTGCAAACTGCTGAGCTCTCCCAGCTCCCTGAACTGAGTTGAAGTGAAATGGGCCTTACTGTAAATACAAGCATGATCTGAGAACAGAATTAAATAATAATTTATTAGCCCACTCACTTCCCTTCCTTAGTGATTTGTGAGATTAGAAAAACACCAAGGGCCTCAGTCTGTCTCATCAGAAAGAAAGGTTCCTAGGGGATGCTAAATCATTCGGATGTCCCAATTCTGCACATTTTTATGCAGAATCTGCAACCCTCAAGAATATTTCCAGTGCTTAGTCCTGTTGTTCCACCATGATATATGTACTCTAAGGTACTCTGGGCTGAGGAAGCATAGAGGAGGGGGAATACCCTGAGAGGCTGGCTTGTTTTATCTCAGACTCCCACAAACTGTTTGACAACTTACCATTCCTTGGCTGAGACCGTTCTCCCTGTCACCACTGGCCAGGGATCTCCTCCTCTGCTTTCCTTCCTCTAACTCTTGCTGCTAGAATATGGAAGGGGGAGAAAATAAGACATCTATGAAATCACTTCCAGCTACTTCTGGGGACAGACTCTGCAGTTGGACAGGAGCTGGTGTCCTGCTCCAGCAGACAAAACGACAGAAAGGCTGCAGAGCCTTCCTTGGATTCAATATGGTATATGAAAAGGGGATGTCAGGGCAAAGCCTATAGTTTTGCTTTAGCACCACTTGCTCTACACAAAACAATCCAACAGTAAGAGCTTTCACCACCTGCCCAGCATCCCCCCCACACCTTTCCTCCCTTGTCTGGCATTTGATGTATCCGAGGACAAAGGACACACAAGCTGTCAGAAACACTCGCCTGTCTCCTCCAGCATTAAAGATTACAGTAATTCAGCCTGAAAATGGACAGAGGAAGCTGTCTGTGGAGAGGGACCCCTTTAGAGGGGCGGGAAGGGTACCAAGAGCCAAACTCTCTTGCAGCTCTGCACTTTCCCATCTTATACTATTGCCTCCCAGACTCAACACTCACCTGCTTCCTACCCAAGGTGAAAAAGGAGGGTCTCAGTCTCTCCCTCTCTCTCTCTTGCTTGCCTGTTGCAGAATAATGTTGGGAGGGACTATACGGGAGGTTATGAGGGCTGGGCTGCCAAAGACAGTAGGCATGCTAAAGTACAAAGGGCAGGGCTGGGGGAGAAGGAGGAACTTTGCAGCAGGTGAACTTTGAGACCTTTTATTGTTGTTAACACATGTACAGATACCTCATCAAGCAAACACTGGAGGAACAGAAACAGATTCAAAGTAACTGTGCTGTTGTGGTTACTGATGGAAAGAAAAGCTGGATCCTGTCCAGGTAAGAAAGGGCAGGAAAAGGAACACACACTGTTCTGGGCATGGCATGGCAGAAGGCACTTCTGCAGTCTTCCAGCAACACTGGCCTTAACCTTCCACCCCATCCTTTGCTGAGCATGCTACCAGCTGCACTGGGCCCCTCCTTGCCTGCCTTGGGAAGCTGCCAGCTTCACAGATGTTAATCACTATCCTAAATAAGATTGGCCTGATTGTTTGGTTTTATTTTATTTTATTATTTTATTTTTAGCAGCTTGTGCAAAATGCATTCAACACACTGGACAGTTATCAAGGCTCTCTTCTGTACACAATTTTCCATGTTCTTAAATCACTGCCATCTTAATCTCATCCCTACTATGGGCCCAGCTGATTTCCAAAAGGTCAAGGACTTCAACATGAGGTAGCTTTAAGAGGCAGACTGAAGAAATACTGCATTTTAGTTACCACCCAGGGAAACACCAGAACTGAGCTGTCCAACCAAAAAAGAGAATGACTTCTTACAGTTTGAGTTGAACAGCAACTCTGGAGACCAAAGATGTAATAAACTCATGTCCTGTGTGTGGCAGCCTAGAGAAGCTCACATGCACAGGCATACAGATCTGCTGCATTTATATTACCCTTGCCAATTCTGAACCTCATCTAGGGAACAAAGCTCCAGTCCCTGTGGACTTTATTCTTTTGACTATATTCATCTCAGCCAGAGAGTGAAAGACAGCTTTACCAATTCATTGCATCATTTCCTATAAACTGTCTGTAAAGCCAGCCATGCCCTGGCCTCACCCAAAAACTAGCTCTCTGCCTAGGGCAGAAATAGCTCCTGCAGGATACCCAGTCCTGAGAAGTGTTGTTACCTGGCAGTGCTTCCTCCTTTGAATGAAATGTCTAGAGATTAAAACCATGGTATTAAACTGCACCAAAGTCTTCTTCAGCCTCCTGTACCGCTTCCTAGAGGGATTTGAAAAGAGGAAAAAATGCTAATGAAAAGGAAACCACCAAAATTTAGGCAGACTGTGGACTCAGTTCAAGGCTATGGACGAAATATAACAACCTAATCAGTCAGCTAGGATTTGGTCTTAGTGTGTTAAGCCTGGTTCTCTCTTAAATGTTTTCTCTACATCCTTTGCTCTAACCATCACAGTATCAGCACTACCACAAGCAGGCTACTATAACAGTTTTGATAACAGCTCTATTTCTACTGGAACCTCTGCTCAGTGCTGGGAAATCTCTCCTCCACCTACAGCAAAGCCTACAGCACACCTGTTCTCATCAGGAACTGCCTCTGCAGCCCTGCTGATCACCATTAAGCTCTAGCCATTCCATTAACAGTTGACCCAACAGAATTCCCCGCTGCAGAGCAGATTGGGAGCCAACGTGAGGGGAGGCCTGTCCAGGCACATCCTCACCTTGCCATCCTAGGCAAGGACAAAGGGCTATACCTTGTCTCCTTGTCTCCTGACCTTGCCTGATAACCTCGGAAGTGAGCCTGGATGATTGTGACTTTCTCCTGGAGGACACGGAAGCGCCTGCGGTGGAGAAGGCATCGGAAATTCCTTTGGAGGGTAACAATGGCCCAGCTCTGCCTCTGGTTCCATCGTCTCTCCAGCAGCTGCCAGGCCTTCTCCTTCAGAAAGACCTGAGGCAAAGGGAAGAGTCTCTGACCCACGACGAAAGCAGCCAGTTTCTCCAAGAGGCAATCAATACCAAAAGTTTTTGTTTTCCCTCCTTACAAGTAAGCCTCTACTGCCCATAAGGTTCCCTGCTAAGGAAACTGTACTCTCCTAATTGAAAAGGGCAGGAGATGTAGGCCCACATGACAAAGGTGGATGTATTTGCAGAAGATGGTTCAGGAGCAGGGAATTGGAGAGTGATGAAGGTTACTAAGCAGGAAAACCAGCAGCCCAGGCCTCCACCAAAGAATGCTGGGAGGATAAAGGAGGTGGTCATACTACTAAAACATCCTGAAGCCTCCCTCCTGTTTTTTATCTGAAATGCTAAAATTTTTTCCTCCGTACTTGAGACAAGACAAAGCAAAAGGGAGGTGGAGGCACGCAATGTTCCCCTTCTTTGGGCAGGAGGGCCAAGCTGCTCAGTGTTCACTGACAGCCCATGAATAAACGGCTGGGCCAGTGGAATTAAGATGGGATTCTCTATAGGCACCACCTTTGTGACTCCAATCTGATAAAGATCTGAGGGGCTCCCCACCACACGAGACAGCACAGCCACACAGACTTCTCTCTTCTCCAAGCAGCTGTGCCCTTGCCCAGCCAGGAGGCCATACCTGGAAGAGACATTGATATGAGGAAAGCCAGGGCTGTAACTGGAATCCTCAGAGGAGGATAAATCACAATGTGCTGACAAGTTCATCCAGGCTTTGAGTGGCCTGGGAATCCCAAGCCAATATATCATTGTACCTGGCTAGGAAGTTCTGGAATGGAAGACGGACTGGATATCCCTCCTTTTTAATGTGGATGGCCTCCAGTATCCCAGAATGCCGCAGCTGACAAGTGACATACTCCACATCAAAGATATTTGACAACTGTGAATGTAAGACAGAAGAAAAATGGAAAACATGAGATCAAAGAAAGAAAAAACAGAGGGCAGGGAGCTGAGAAAAGGGGCTCCCTCTACTGTCCTGCCCTTGGTTAGATCTCTCTATGGGTGTGAGACACAAAACCCAACACACCCTTTGGTGTCCAGCTGACACTGGACATTCTTCTTATCCCCCAGCATATGGTCAGCTCACATGGCCACAGGGAAGAGTACAAAACAGAGAAAGGGGACAAAAAATTTAAAGCTATCAAATGAAGAAAAGGAGTCCCAACCCAAACGCAAAAGGAAAGCTGCTGCACAGTACTGGATTTCAAAGAACTGAGGGACTCTGTAAGGAGCTCAGGATACTGCCCTACCTTTTTAGGATTAGGAGTGATGCACCGAATGAAGAAGGTATGACTCCTGCAAAACAGAAGAAAGGAAGAACCTTTCATCATCCTCTCCTCTGTGCTGACTTGAGAAGAATTCACATATTTCTGGGTGCAGCAATCAGCCCAGCACAGGAATGAGCACTTCTCACCTTCTCAGCTTGGCTGTGAGGTCCTGCAAAGACTCCTGGAATTTGGACACCAGTGTAGAGGCCCGGGGCTTAAGTCCTTTGCCCCTGGCCCCCAGATCCCTTTGTTGACTGTAGGTAGCTTTAGCCTTCTGGAAAATGTGAGACACCACCTGGAAAGACAAAGAAATTTACCAAAGTTCCCTCTGCTATGTGGAAAGAACAAATTTCTTCTATTTAAAACTGGGGAATTAGTCTCCCTTGCCCCTTGCAGGGCCAGGAACCACATCTGTATCTTTCTGGCAGTCTGTAAGTCTTATATATATAAAAAAAAAATGCATAAATTGCAGCCAAAGAAGATTTGCTCAATTCCCAAGTGTCCTTCAGTAGAACAAAATTTCTCTCACATTTCCTCCAGTTTCCCCCGACACCTGTCCAAGGTCTTTCTGCTTCTCACATGAAAACAGAAGGGCTTGTTAGGTAACAGCAACAGAGACCTTCATCCTCAACCACTACAATACCTTGAGGCGGCTCTGGGAGAAGATATCCAGCACCTCTAGACGCAGCTGGTCACGGTTCTTATTAAGAAACTTGTGGACCTGCAGAGGTAAAGCCTGATTTAATGCACAGTTCAGACCAAGAAAACAGACAGGCAAACACCCTTCCATGCACACACCTCTCTTTGGAGAAGAGAACTGGAGAGGTGGAACAAGAAGCAAGCCCTACAGAATGACTTGCTGTTCCTAGTGCCACCAAAAGCAGGGGAGACAGTGGCTGCTGCTTTTTGGAGGGATTGATCCTTTTCCCCTTCACATTGTCCAACAGGCTTTGACCCTCACTTACTTTCAGCAGCAACAGTTTTCCTGTTTTTTTCTGGACTGTAGCACAAGAAAAGTAGGCTATTGTGTAATCATGGGCACTACCTATTTTGTTTCAACCTAGAGGCTGTTTAGTTGCCTCTACTAACAAGGATTTCCTCCTTTTTTGATAGAAGGCTGCTCTAGATAGATGTGCAGTTACAAATAGAAGACTTTATCCCTAGCTCTCAGAACTGCTCCATCAGGACACCCACAGCATGGCCTATTGCTCCAACTGCTCCAAGTCCCCAACTGGCTCACCCGATAGGTGACGGGGCCTGCATAGTGCTTCACGGTGAAGACTGGCAAAGGCAGCTTGGGCTTGGTGTACCAAGGGCTGTTTCCATGATGGTAATGACACTTCTGGAGGAAAGTGTGGTCAGTGGCCTGTAAAGGAGATGAGTAATGTTTCCCATTACTGCAACATATTCAGTAGCTGAAAAGCTAAATGTTAAATGGAAGGTAAAAGCAAGCAATAATTTTTGTAAACAGTCTCTGTTCAATCTGTGCAACTGCCTTGCCATAACCATCCTGTGAGAGGGATCACAAAAGAAGATAAGAACTCACCTGAGTAAGTGAAGTTTGGTCATCTAGGATACACAAGATGCCATGGGGTTTTGCAGCAATGACATCTAGGCATGACTCATCGTACATCTTGGAGACAGGAATCCAAACTAACTGCTCTTGGCTATATTCCTCCTACACGTTAAAGGCCAACCAGACAAATCCAGCCATGAAAACAAGAACAAAGTAGGGAGTTAATGGTGGGATTTGGTTTATTCTTCAGGAAACTAGTGTTTCGCTGCTGTTAGAAACTTGCTTAGAATTATCTGGTTTTGACTTATGAAACGTCTTTTAAAGCCACTAATTATTTTCCTTACTTAAGTGAGAAAAGCTGCTCTGATAAACAGAGTAATAAAGTGAGCTGTGAAAGGCAACAAATCTGATAACTACACTCCAGGTGGAAGTGGAATAGTAAATAAAATGCTACAATGAATCTACCAGAAGGAGCTTTAAAAGTACCACTGGAGTCTGGAGTCATTGATCCAGAACAACTTGCTTATAAAATCTGTAAGAGGGAGCAAGGCTCTAAGAAACTCTTTCGATTTACTACAGAATTAGTAACAGCTATTACGTAATCAGCTCTTTGGATTAGGATCCCATGGGTACTGCTTAAGAGAGACATGTTTATTCAGCTTCCTTTTTTTCTGCTAAAGGACAGTCTCCAGCCAAGGCTGGCTCAGCTCATTCCATATGTGCTGCCCTCATCTGCAGGCGTGAGCATCACTTACCTCTTCCTGGGCAATGACAGTCTGGCTGAAAAAATGCTGGAGACGCTCATTGGCAAAATTGATGCAGAGCTGCTCTAAGCTGTTCACACCTAGATCCTGCAAAGACAAAAAGGCATTATCACTTCCAACCCACAGCCCTCCCAGAGACTCTGTCTTCTGCAAACAATGCACAGCACCAGATGGTGCTGATCTGAGCCCCTGGTTCAGGCAGCTTGTTCTGATCAATAAGTGATAATGAACCTGGGAAACTCCAATCATATCATGTCTGGTTTGCAAGCTCTCAGCCTGAACTATTGACTAGGATGAACAGCAAGAGGTAAGACAAGCTGTGAAGGAAAACAAAGAAGAGATCTACTCTTAGATGCACAGCCTCATGTGCATCATTGCTCTCAGAATCCATCAGTCCACACACAGATTTTAACAGGAATCCTAAATATAAAGCTCACATGCCTTGATGAATGCATGTCACTCTAAGCCCCTGCTCTGCATATTATTTGTTTACCCCAAGTCTGGGAAGCTCCCAGAAGCTCAATGGAGCAGGAACATTCATTCTTTAGAAAGGCAGAACTAAAGCTAGTTATGTGAATTATCTACGCAGCACCTTACTGCCCAGTTCTCTTAATCAAACACGCAAGGCTGACATGGTGGGAGCACCAGAAACCATTCTCACCATTTGAGGCTAGGCTGTTAACTGCCTAGGAGAGTTAGGACTCACAAGCCAATGCTACTTGCAATCTACCCAATCCTATTTAATTTAGGATTGTACCTATGCCACATAGTCATAAAAGAAACGGGATGGGCTATTCCAGAAGGCAACTGATAGCAAGGGCCATTAATAAAAAAAAAAAAAAGCGTTAAATGTCCTGAAGGAGCTCTTCTTTACTGTCTCAAAACAAACAAACAAACAAACAAACAAATGTACCCCCCTTACCACAGGTATCTAAGTTACATGGTACAATTACTATTTCCTTTCAGGTAGGAATCATATTTCCTCCCATCTCTGGCAGTGACTGAGGAGAATCAGCACATGTACTTGCAACCCAGAAAATATCAAAAGAATAGGAAAAGCAACCTCAAAACCATGGATGTCCACAATGCCTACGGCACAGTCCGATTCCCAGGGAGCCAACCACTCATTGATTCTCAGCAGCAGCCACTCAAAGAGCAGGTAATACAGAGTCTTGGCAATGGAGTCCCTGAGCACGAGAGGGAAAACTAGTTAGAACAAAAACAGCACCCTTGGATGCATCTTACCAACAAACAAACAGTAGCAGAAGTCACCTGGCTTCAATGGCTCCTTCTACAGACAGAGGTGTGAAGATCCGATCATAACATGTCACCTGGACACAAAGAAAGAGCTGAATTACTGTTATTATCTCACAATTATATGTGGTGTTTTTTGTTTTTTTTTTTTTTTTTTTTTTTTTTTAAATCCACAAGGAAGTTGGCTCAGTTAACAAACGGACTTTTTCTAGTTGACCTAAGAATTTACCCAGCTCTCAAAGGAAAAAGTAAAGAGTAAAAGCACATGCTGCCGTGTTTCAGGGTGGGAGTCAGCTGGCCACGGTGTTAGGCCTGAAGTCACCTCAGGCTAGAAGAGAGCCCTCTTGTATGGGAGTTCTGTCTTTACAGTCTCTCCACCCTGCCTCAGCTGCCTTGAGGGGTTCATCCAATCTCCGGGACTGATGAAGCACGTTAGCCATTCTGCAGCATTTTATTCCTGCTGTTAACTTCCAGGTTTTGGACCATCTAAGGCCCTTCTGCTTACAGAGCACTGGCTAAGGCATGCCATGCTTCAGGATGAATGAGAAATGGCCAAAAGGTACTCACCGTGACACGGTGAGTCACAGCACTTTGTAGGAAATCTGCGGAGACACGCAACAAATTGGCCACAATCTGAATCTCGGTATCACTGGCGATAGCTGCATGCTCAAAGAATTCTTTCTAAGTAATGGAGAAGAGCAATAGATTCAGCTACGGACTGGGTACTAGGACCAACTAGTATTAATATTCTTAAAAGCATCTCAGCTGCACAGATGCAGGTCACTGCTTGAATATGATACCAGCACCTGGGTTCATTTTGGCTCCTCAAACAGCTACTCCAGCTCTAACAACCTTTGGTTGTTCTTATCTAGGTCAGTCTGGAGCTTAATATCTAAGGAACTGAATAGTCTCCAAAGTCATCCTCAGTCACGAATAATTTCCCTGGCCCCATCTCATGAGATAACAGCAATGTTCAATAAAAACAGCTCAATGCCAAGCTGACGAGGGTTACTATACCTCGTAGGAGGTAAAGCAGATATTCCCCAGCTGCAGAATGGCAGCCAGCACCGTCCAGGTGGAGGTCAGCTGATCGTCTGAGAGGCTGATTCCCTCCAGAGCTTGCACCAAGACCAGAAAGTCCTCACTGTCCTCCTTCCCCACGATGTCACATGCTCTGCCCTGAGAGAACAAGGACAGATAATTGCGGTCAGCTCCTTTTCACACAGGCTGGAGCTGAGCTACCAACAGCAATCTTCAAACCAGTGGTTCAATGTTTTAAGGGCTAGAGGAATCTGAAACAAAAAGACCACAGACACTGCTAGTGGGAGGCCAGCATTCATGACAGACCAGTCTTTCCTCTCTGGAATTTGGAGAGCAAAACCTCTCTTGTCCACAGATGCCAAGTTTCAATTATGGTTCAAATATAGGAACCCCAGCTATCCCTTACCCACTGCTGGAATGCAGCTTGACAGGAGAGGGGATGCCAGAATCTCCTCTGATTAAGTCACAACAGTTGTTACCCCAAACACTACCAGAATCTGACGTATGAAAGCAAACGGGTTTATGTGCACACAGAGAGCAGTCCTCAGTTAGTCTCACCTCTGCATGATCTGATCTTTTTCCCTTTTCCTCTCTGTAGCAGACTAAGAGGCTCCCATTAGCTCAAAGGGTTTAGTTTGCAATACAGATCCTTAGCCACCAGGAACAGCACCCCTCTAACTCCCTGTGAGAATACAGGAGCATCTTTCTGCAGAAGTTTCTGCTTGTTTTTTTTTCTTATGTGATAGAGAGATCTACTACCAGTCTCCAAGAAGGACTTGCCTCCATGCAGATAACTTTTCTAACTCTTAGCATACATCTAACAGGTATCTGTTGGGTAAGATAGACCCTTAATTGCCCTGCCTCCTTGAGTCATTAGTGGTACTTGTACTTTCCTTGCCTGAAGGAAAGATGGTATCAAGCATTCCTCAAGGAGTCCTCAGTTGTTGTGAACTCTGAGTATGGAAAGTATTCTTAATAAAAGGTAATTGTGCTCCAAGGTGATGACTTAACAAAAGTGCGGTAAACAATTTTCCAATTTAAATGGATTGTCATCAGCAGTTACAACACAGCAGCTGAAAATTTTCCACCCATTCACTCAGTCAAGGAAGCAAGTGTGTTTTTTAAAAGGTAAAAAAAGAAATTCCCCTGTTCTTTTCTGTTCTTCAATAAATTGCAAACGCAAAGAAAGGCAATGAGAAAAGCATTTCTTCACCACGAGGTGGAGCCATGGGCCCACAAGATGACTCTTAAAAGGCTTTCTTTGGGAACAGAAGGGACATGAAAAGTGAGAAAAAGAGCAAATAAGACACCAGGATATTTCTTCTTAGGTCAGGTGAGAGAAGGAACAGAGCAGAGTTTAGCATAGTTCTGCAAAGGACACATGAGGAGACAAGCAAAGTTAGGAGATGCCTCACAAAGAGCCTTGCTACTCAAACAGAAATGATGCCTCAGCCATTTCATTCCCTTGCTGCAGAGCATCCTCACACCACTCACCTGATTCAGGTAAAAGTAAGACTCTGCCTCTTGCAAGTACAACTCCTCTTTCTGCTCCGCAGGCAGCCCAGCCAGTAGCTCATAAAAAACATGGTAGTTCCTCTCACCGTGGGCCTGATGGGAAACACACTTCGTAGAGTTGACTCCAAGTCCAATTCCAAACCTCTACAGAATAGATGCTGCCACAAACCAAACACTCAAAAGCTGGACACTGAACTTTCTCTGAGAGGTCAGCAAGATGATGCTAGAAATTATCCAAGAACTACTATTCAAAAAGTTTCCAGGGTTTCTCACTGACACCTTCAGAGCACTCCATCCGAGAGCAGTCCCTTTTGTGCAGCTCCAATACCTGACCTTTTCCACAATCCAGACATTAAGAAAAATTAGGTGAGGAAAGATTTAACTTTCAGTAATCCCTAATAAGTGGCATACTTCAACCTGTTTGAGATAGAGCAAGCTCCTATTTTATTCATATAAAATAAGTGATTACCTTTTGCTATACAGAGGGAACTTATTTCTTGCTAACAGAAGAAATGGGAAGTAATTCTCATTTTTCCCATCCCTGTTATTTAACATTAGATTTCACATTAAATATGAAAAAGGGAGAGAGGAACTCATTGGTCCTCACCTGAAATACCACACGAGACTTCTCCAGCAGGTACTGAGAGATGGACGTTCCCACCACGGCCCCGCTAAGCACAAGAAGACAACAGACCCTATCAGAAGCTAGTCAGACATTTCAGGTAGATCTGCTTGTCTGAGGGATCAGCAAAAGGAGTCGTTACTGAGAAACAAGGATACAACCCGACCGACTTGGTCTGAATTCTGAAGCTTTCCAGCACCAGTGTATTGTATCATGCTATTACAGAGAAAGCAGCTATGAAACATCAAGATTCGAGTTTGATTTCTGAAGAGCCTCCAGAGTACAAAGGAGCTCGAATTTGAATGATGCTCATACTTTATGTCCTGAAAATTCTCCAGGAGACAAGGCAAGCACCCGTCCTTCAGTCTTGTCTGATTAGTGTTGCACTATCACTGTCTCATCTACCCTTACACATTCATTCTATGTGTCAGACTGACAGCCTGTGAGGAAAGGGATCACCATTTTGTTTTGTATTTGAATTGCACCTTTTACAAAGTTAACTTGGACCAAAAGCAGGATGTCCAAGTACTACAGCAATACTGGGCCATGCAGCCAGCAGCCTGGAGTAAAGGAGTGGGCAAGGATCAATCGGCCTGTAAGCCTTACACATGTCCCATGCAGATTAAGTAGGTGTGTAATGAAGGGAAGAAATTAGTGGCCATCTGAATAGATACAACTGATTTGAGAAGAGTCACTATGGCTTCTGTAAAGAGAGGTCCTGTCCCACAAGCCTCCTGGAGTATTTTCAACAGGATGACAAGCATGCAGATGAGAAAGACCTGAGGAATACAGTCTGTGTGAACTTCCAGAAGGTTTTATCAAGTCAGGGAACTTTTAAGGAAAGCAGACAATTATGGCAGAAGAAGGAAGGTCTTGACATGGGTAGGAGTAAATGGCTAATACTCTTAAAACTGGGAGGTAACCACTAGAGTTCCACAAATTGTCTGTCTTCCGGCCCTTAAGTGTAATTGAAGGTTTGATTTAAGTGACTTAAAAGAGAGCTGAACAGCAATACAACAAAGCTTCCTGACATTATGAAATTATTCAAGGTAGTGAGGTTGAAGGCCAATAACTGCAGATAGACCTTACAATACTGAATGAGTAAGCAATAAAATGTCACATTAAATTCACTGGAGATAAATGTAAAGGGATGCACACAAACTGAAGTAACCCCAGCTTCACATATAAACTGAGTTAACCATTGCTGCTTAGAACTGAGACTTTGAGGTTATGATAGTTTCATGAAAATGTCAGCTCAGTGTTTTGCAACAGCACCAAAAAAAATTTCTTAGGGGTTAACAGAGTATTAGAGAGAAGTGTGGTATGAATGCTTGTTGCCAGTGCTGGAGGCACAATATTGTATCACATAGCTCCTTGATATAAAGCAGTTCAGACAGTCTGATGTTCTTAATTTATCATCCATCTCGAGAGGTGAAGATCTATTTTTTTGTGGAGGAAATCTAAAAGCAAAGTAGGGGTGTAAACTCACCCTCCTGCCCTGATGATAACAAGGCTATAGTGGGGGGAAAGCTATTGCATGAGCCCTAAGCTCTACTAGATCTTTGCTCACCCAAGTCCCCTTGGACAGTTAGGAAGGACAGCATCCTGTGATGATGTTCTTTTAACTCACTGTCGCAGGTAGATGTTCAGAAGCTTCCCAAAACGACTTGAGTTGTCATTGAGGATGGTTCTGGCATTCCCAAAACTCTCCAGGATGGGTAGGACATTACAAGGCTTGAAGAAAAGAGAACACTTAAGTAGCGATCATGTTTCTCTTTACCCCAAAGTACTTAATTAACTGTTAATCTGAAAATCCAAAAAAGAAGGGACTTCACTGAATTGATTCTTGCTTGACTAAGGAGTCTCTTTCTGACTTTGTCTTGGTACAAGTACCTTCAGCCCCTGTTGAGTTGCTCTATGAACTTTTTACCTTCACTGCTATGATCATTCAGTTCACTTCTGCTCTGTGATTGTTTAGCTTCAACTCCCAAACATCGCTGTAAGGTCTCTGAGGCAGGTCAAATCAAAAATTTCAAAACAGATACAAACAAATCTTCAAACAGATGCAGCACCCTATACAGTGTCAGAGCTCTCCATTACTAAAATGCATCAGCTGTGGCTCCTATCTTCACAGCAGGTTCACCTTGAACCACCAGCCATCTGAAGTCCAGTTCATCGAACAGGAATGAAGAAACAAAATGGCCTGTGTGGCCTGTTTGTGCTGTCTTTGGCTTCTACCTCTTAACAAGCCATGATAGCATAAAGCAAATCTCAGTTTCCTCTTACCTGCCTGATCCTGTGACTGTCTGATCTCTGGTACAGCATAGTCAGGTATCGCATAATTGCTTTGGCAGCTTCTGTTTTACCCGAGCCACTGTGTCCACTGGAGGAATAAGAGATAAGGAAGTTGGCATCAGAACAGAATTAACTGATTTAGACACTATCAGAGGTTATGTTACAGTAAATCAGTGGAACTGTACTGACAGCACATGAAGATCTATCACGTTGTTCAAAACGCTGACACAAAATAAGCACAAATAAGAATCCACTGTAGAATGTCAAATGCCTTCTTTTCTACTCCCCCCAAAGGCTATGAAGCTAAATTCAAACTGTATTTCCACAGAGTGAAATAAAATCCCATCTCATTCATGTTTTCTACTCACAACCTTCACACAATAGCCACAATGATACATTCATGGTCAGTGAAATACAAAGATGAAAGTCTTTTTTGCATAAAGAAATGGACAAGCCTTTGAAAAGCACCCACATTTCTTACCTGATGATGACACACTGCTCTTGTTCTGATGACTGGGACAGTGTGTAGGCCATTTCTGCTATGGCAAAGATGTGTCTAGTCATACAGAAAGAAAACCCCAGTTAACTGGCCTCACATTTATACTGCACAAGCACAGCACTAAAAGGCTGATCTACATCACTGATCTACAGAGAGCTGGGCCAACATATTGGCCTAAGAAATGTGAGGAACCAGGGAAATCAGAGCTTTGTTCTTGCTGACATCAGGTTAAAAGCCATTGCAAAGTTCAGGTTCCTCCTGGACCTCTGTGACCGAAGCTAAGTAACGCTCTGTGCCATGGTGCTTCATGTAAGTGACACCAGCAATATTATCTACACTCACGGAACCTGAATACATTGTTAGCTCTGGTACAGCTGCTAAACACCTTCTGAAGCCCAAAGAGAACAGAGTTTGGGGAGTTAGTCAAGAAAGAGAAACATACGGAGCATTTTCGGAGAGTGTCCTTCGGTGGTACTGGGTAGCCACTTCTTCAGAGTAGATACTGAGGTCTTTGAAAGGATTCACGGAAACCAAGACTTGCCCAATGTAAGTCTAGGCCAAAAATCAGAAGGGGGAACAAATTTGGTGGCTCATTAGAATTTTCTGAATGAGGAACACAACTGACTGGGAATACAAATACTAAAACGAGCTTTAAAGGAACACTGTATATTCTGATTACACTGCCAGCTCATGCACGGCAAAGCACATTTTTTCAGTGGTCCTTTTCAAAGCTCTGTCATTAGCATACTGGGGGCACTCCCTCTGGTTGGCTTCACTGGTCACTTTCTATTTTCCAAGCTCCACATGGAATTACAGGCACAGGTTTGAACATCTGAGTCAGTAACTGAGAAAGGGAACAATTGTTCCACTAGCTCTGGACTGCAACACCAAAATGTTTGCAGAAAATCCGATGTCTCTTCTCAAGATCCGCAAACTTTACTCAGAACTGGTTTGCTAGGACAGAGGAATTCCCCTAGGAGCTACTGAAGCTAAAATTGAACCCAAGCATGCACATGGGTTGGCAACAAATACCAAAATTCAAGAGAAACTCTGGGACTCTGTTCTAGACATGATTCTATGACTTAGATTTTACTGCAAATGTTCCATGCTACCTCTTTTTTGAGCAAAAGCAGTGTGAGTATCCTTCTTATCACCATTCCTAGTAATGAAAAAGCTCTTGAGCTACTTGGTGCAAGATCAAAGCTTCATGGAGAGAGAGAAATCATTTTCTCTTACAGCTCATTGTTCAGAATGAATAAGCACTGAAGAAAAACACACACAAAACCACTACTACCCATACATAAATACGATTGCGATGGAACCTTTTCTTCAGACACAGCAGAACTGAACTCTCACAGACTTCCCTACAAACAGAGGAAAGAATCTGTCAGTCATAAGCTTCAAATGTATGTACTGATATTAACCTTTCTGCCCTCCCATGGATTTTGTGGGAGGCTGGGATCTGAAACTACTCATTACCTTCACCCGGTTCCAACATGTCTGGGAATAAGCACATCAGAGAGAACAGAGCAGCCAAAGCTCAGTGTCCAACCTGCCCATATCCATGTGATCACAACTCCTTGCACACAGCCTTTAGAGCTGTTTCTCTAAGCAGAATTACAAGGGTAAAGGTTGCCAGGACATGCAACAGTGTTAGGTGCTCCTCTTTCAACAGCAGCATGATTAACAACCACTGATTAAAAACCGTTAAAGATGTAAGGCCTGAGTTTGACACAGCTGAAAGAAGCAGGAGTTACTAAAGGCACAGATGCCACTGTCAGTAGGCACACAACATAAAAATGTCCTTCTCCTCCTGCAAGTCTTCCCAACTTACCACCCACTTCATGCAACAAGAACAGCATTTTCTCATGTTGTAGCCACGGATCTATAATTTGCTTTTTATTGCTGAGTCAGCAAGAGCTTTAAGGATAACAAACAAGCCTCTGTGACCTTTAATTAGTTGCAGAATACCACTGACAACACGTACTCCAGTCTGGTTAGATCTTCTATCTCTTCAACTTCTACTCTGTGGTCTTCATCCATGTACACCTGAAACACATAGATATGTTATTACAAATCAGAAGCTCAGCTTCATCCCGATATTGGAGACAACACCTGTACCTGTTTCTGCATGAAGTCCATCTCCAGCATATCGTCACTGATGTCTTCTGCCTCCCACTGATCCTTGCAGACCTTCACCACGTGACTGTTGGCCAGATGTGGATCCCTGTAGATGGCCCATTTGCTGAGGTTCTTGATGGTGATTTGTGGGAGCAATAATTCAGAGTTCAGCCATGCCACAGGATCACATCCCTGAGCCTGCTGCTGGGACCAGTGAACACAAGGTATGGCTTCGGAACTTGCAGTCTGGAGGCCACCTGAATACTCTTTGACATCCACCTCCCCAGAATATTCTGTTGTATGTGTTGGATCCTCTTCTTCAGGTGGAAGGAAGCCTGGACAACAATAATTTCCAGATGCTTTTGAAGAAAGGGAAAGGTGAGGGTCTTTGTGGCGAGGCTGCAAAGTTTGCCCAGTGGAGAAATGGGATGTGGCAGCACTCTCGGGTGTTTTTACCTGCTGGGGCAAGGAGCTCAGAAGGCTGGTCACTCTGCATTGGGTTGCAGTAGGTGTCACCTGTCTTGTACTTGTTGATGCAAATATTTCCCTCTTGCAGGAATACTGTTCGCTGTTTCTCTGAAGGCTTTGATCCATCAAGGATCTGGGAAGGTCACTCTTGAATCCGCAGCCCTGTTGCACAGGCATCACAGATCTTCTGTCTGATAGAGCTCTCGGTTTCTCTAGGGAACGATCACTTCCAGAGCCCGCAGGTGAGGAGGTCTTTGACTTAACCATGCTGTGCACTCTGGGCAGAACTATAGCAAACTTGGCATCAGGAATATTGTTCTTGTCCTCATCCAAGCTAAGTGAGTTTGGAAAGGAACCGGTTCCTTGAAGAGGGGAATCACCAGAAGGCAAATCAGCACGTCCCAGCTCCTCTGATGTTTTAGGGCCCCCTCTCCCCTCCGCTAATGGAGGAGATGAGCCTTTGTCACTCACCTCACCCCTCTCCAGCTGTCCGGCTACATCAGGGCAAGTTTTGTCAGACTGACCAACCCACCCAGCAGTACTTACAATCCTGATAGCCATTCTACTTCTCAGCCAGAAAGGCTTACTTCTCCTCTTCCTCTTCCCAAATTTCTTCAAGAGCCATCCTGAAATACCAATTGCACGTGCCACACTCAGCAGGCGAGCTTTCAGGCTTGCTTTCTTGGAAGGTTTTTGACCACGCCGGGTGGTGACTTTTCTAAAGTTAGAATGGGTGCTGTGCAAGTACTTGGATCCCTTCCCATCACGCACATTTGCTTTTGCAGAAGGTGCCTCTGCAACCACTTCTGCTTTCTCTTTTTTTGTCTCAAAAGTCTGGCGTGAACCCAGTTTCATTTTTCCAGTAACCTTTCCAACTTTCTTCTTCCTGCCAAGGTGCTGCTTATCAGATGATATTTTTCTAATAGAGGAGCAGCTTGACACGCTTGAAAGACTTAATCTTTTCTCTCCTAAATTCTGAGCTATGTTGGGTTCCTTCTGTGTACTGAAGGTTTGTAGAGTTGTAGGTTTTGAACAGATACTTTCAACGTTTTTCAGTTCAGAGCTGCTTTCCAAAGCCATCTGGACAGGATTTGGTTTACAGCTTGTTAATAGTTTGGTCTCAGCATTTTTATGTTTGCTTTTCAGATTGAGAAGGATTTGGGATTGAGGAGAGTATTTCTTAGTAAGCATCATTGCTGCTACTGCCTGCTTGCTGCGGTCTGAAGAACCATCCCTCTGTATATGTCCTACCACTTTTCCTTGTTCTGCACTCTCACACTTCATGCATTTCTCTTTCAATGTCATTTGCTGCTTGAAAAGCAAAGGGCTGTCTTCCAGTGTGCTGCCTTCATCATTCACCTTTTTTTCCTGTTCAGTTCCCTGAAGTACTTTGCTAATGGGGAGTTTTGCTTTCACAGCACTAGGTAGCGGTTTTCTTCTTGCCCTTTCTTTTCCTTTTTCAGCATTCCCTTCAGTGCTGTTCTCCCCACTGTCACCAGAATTATCACTTGCATCTTTTGACATATCCTGAACCTTGTCATTTTCTAACGTTTTTTCCTTGCTTCCTGTGGTACTACCATTTTCTCTGTTCTTAGGACTTATCAGTTGGGATCCTGAAATGCTCACATCATCGCTTTTCTCACTGCTCTCAGCTAGAGTAGATCTTGGATGTCTTGGCATGTCATCTTGCTTCCTCTTTTTCTCCTCCGCCTCTAATCCTGCAAAGTCAGTGCCTTCCTCCTCAGATTCTTTCCTTCCATCTGTGGTCACCTGCTCTCTTTCAGTCTTACTAGAAGCTTCATTGCTTTCACCAAGTACTTCCTTGGAGCCTTTTCCTCCAGCCACAGGAATATCCTCCAGCATAGCTTCTTTCTCACTGGTGCTATCTTCTGAGGAGTTACTCTTCTCTTCGCTGCTTGCAGTGCTGTCCACTGAAGTTTCTTTTCTATAGGCACAATGGCTTTCATTACTGGAGTCTGAACCAGAGTTATTGGAGGTTTCCAGTAACTTTTCTTCTGCACTTTCAGTGACCGTAATCTGGGTACGTTTTCCAACTTGCTTTTTCCCCATTCTCTCACCTTTTTCCCTTGCTATTCTGCCTTGGAACTGAGAACCTGACTTCTGCTCAGAAGCCTTCTTAATGCCATGATCCTCATTAAGCTTCTTCCTCTGCCTGGCATTGTGTGCTTTCTGTGGCAAGTCATGTTTCTGAAAAGAGCCTTCAACACTTTGTACTGCAGAGGACTCTACAGACTCTGAGTCACTAACTTTTTCAATAGCACCAGGATGCTTTCCACACTTCCTTTTAATACTGCGTTTCTTGCTGTTTGTGGCAGTCTTTTCCTCCTTATCACTGCTGTCCTCACTTTCTTGTACTGATGTCACCTCCTGTGGTTTGCAGGCCTTTGCTTTTTTCCTCTCTAACTTGGACACTAATTGTTCTCCATGTTTTCTCCCCACACCAGATTCTTTTTTATCATTTCTCTCATAGGCTTTCTCCCCCCAGAATAGCTCTTTGTGGCCACTTTCTTTGCTTTCCTTGGCTGGCCCTTGGGTTTTTAAAGGGTCTTGCTCAAGGTTGTCATCTTTTTCAGTCAATGACTCTTTGTTCTTCAACTGACTTTTGCTCTTACCTTCCCGCCGTCTCCCACAGTGGATCTTTGAATCTCCTGGGGAGCTTGCCTTTTTCTCATGATTCAATGTTTTCTCTTTTCCAACCTTTTTGTGCCGAGTTTTGGATCGATAAGGAGGCATTTCTCCAGTGTTCAGGAGTATGTGCAGGTTTACCTTAATTCACCTATAAACGGAAACATTGCACATTCTGCTGTGAAACAAGCTACAAAGAGAGGCCAGATCCTCCTAAATCGTAATTATTTCATTTCTATAAAACTGAACAAATGTTTGCACCCGAAGAGTGCAAAACTGACTATTTTGCACCAGGTTACTCTCTGATTTTGTCATGAATCATCAAATTTTCTTCCCTTATTAGGACTCTTGCCAGAGGCTAGTGGTACAGGCAACTGAGTGAATGCCCATGATTTTCCACAGGTGACAAAAGTTTGACCACATGGTAGTTTAAGAAAGAAGAATTATTTTATTTCAGCTTTTGCTTCTCCAATAACCTTATTTGTGCTGAAGATGAGAGGAACACATCTAATGATCTATGCTAAATGAATGAACAGGACATAGTTATCACAGTTTCCTAGGTATTCAGAATCTCAGCTGGACCAATATAAACAACACTGGCTTGAAGGCTGAAAATAACAATACTGAGTAGATGCTGTGTCACTGAGTAAAACTGAAAAGATTGCAATTGATCATTTAAAAACAAAACATCAAATCTATGTCAAACTGTACAAGATGACTTGATACTGCAGTACTAGCATCTACAAGCTGAGCTAATGCATAAGTACTAGAAATGATGCAAAAATATAAGCCTCATTTTAATGTGTTCGTTTGTTATTCTTCCCGCTTTTATTTGAACACTTGTCTCTTAAACAAGTGAGTGCCTGGTAAATTTAAATATATATGGTAATGATAAATAAATAGTATTAAAATAGTATTAACCAGTATTCAGTTTTCCACAGGATAACCTTTTAAATCTTCTGCAGCAGAAGAGAAGGACATTGTTGAATAGATCATGCTGAAGACTTGACCTGTCATGAACCTGTATCTGAGCCCAAATAACATTTTTATGAGGAAACCAACTGTCATAGCAAATCTGTTTGTCCCTGAATAGCTCTGCTGAAATCTAGCTGGACAAAAGGCTAAATAAATACGTGAATTAATGAGAAATGGGAAAGGAAAAGAAGAAATAAAGTGGTAAAAAAACAAATACAAGAGACTAGATGAGGCAGCTGAAACTAAGTAGGTTATCTTTGTAGCGCAAGTCCACACTTTGATATCCACTGGCATAAAATTGCTTTTATTTAGGACAGGGTCTGCAGGAATAGGATTTTGAAATCAGTATAACTGATTCTACACCAGGATTTTTGTTGAAACATAACTGTATTGAAAAAACACCTAGATGAACCCTGGCAAACAAGTATACGCCAAATAAAACTCCTAATACAGACCCATTTCATGTCTGCAGAGTTGCAAGACCCCATCTTTTATTTTCTTTTTCTCTGTGTTCCATGAACAAGCATTCATGTCTTCGAGGATCTGGCTAAACTGAGTTAGAAGTCAGAAGCAAATAATACTCCATTATGTAGTAGCATCTCCACACAACTCCTCTTAAGTACACTGCTATGAGCAGCAGTCTAGGAAATGTTCAATATTCTAGGTGTTAATCAGCATTACTTATCTCTTTGTCTTTCCTCTAATCACACAGGCAGGAAATAAAGGATGTAAAAATGCCCAAAGGATTAGTCCCAATCTTTCAGTCTGTTGGAAAATCACTTTTATCCTTTCCAGTTATACAGCTCCTGTATGAGTCAACCTCTTGCTGCTTCAGACAGACCAGATATGGTTGGGTTCCAGACCCCAGTTCATTTGTCTGAATGAGGTGCTAATGGCAGAACCTACTTCTGATTGTCACAAAACACTCCAAGAAAATCCCAGAAAACAGTAAGGGCACAACTAAAAGGAAATGAGGGGCCAGGGAAATGAAAACTGGAAGGTGAATGGAGCAAGAGAATAGGACAAAGGAAAAAAAAAATCGTATAGCAAGGAAACCTGACAGTCTGCAACATCTTTCCAGAAAGAAAACGTAAAAAGCCTCCTGTAAGGGGTATTTGTAACTAACTTTGAAATGACATTAGTCAATGATGTGCAGGGAAGAAAGCAGCACACAGGCAAACTCCGTTATATATTTTGTTCTCTTCCCTCTTTCTATGAGAAACTCTTCTCTCCCTTTTCTCCTATTTTTTTCTTTTACCAGCCAACTCCACAGGCAGAAGAGAAGCTTCCACCCATTGTATCTTCATGATTTCTCTCAGTAGGTAGCAGAAGACCAAGCGGACACAATTTTGTTAGTAATTCCTGCCTTCAGCATAACTCTGAAACATTAATGTAGTTATCAAAAGACAAATATAGGAAGTCTTCAGTCAGATGCGGGACTACTGTGGGATGCTGGCAACATATTTACTTGTCTCACAGCTCCAAACCTTGCATCTCAGTAAGCATGGATGCAGTGTACAAACTTTGACAGCAGTGCCCAGCAGCAATGGGGATGGCAAAGGCACACAAGAGATGGTAGTCAATTTCTGATAAATGGGACTGAGTTGGGAGGATTAGCTATACTTGCTTTCTTCCCATCATGAAAAGCAAAGCCTTGCTGGTTACTACACACATGCTGCAAGTCCAAAAGAGCTCTAAAAGAGCATACTAGGTGTATATAAAGCCTGTGGTTTTATTGCAAATGCATACTACCCATACTGTGCTTTTCTGCATGGCAGAAGGATCCTCCACAACTGGAAAATCAGTGTTTCCTCCTTCCCCAGTTGCAACTCCCATGTTGAGCAAAAAGCTGCTGCTCAGAAAGCATTGTTACACACAGGTAAGGGATCCTCAAAATTAGGGTAAAGCAGGTCATGCAAACAGCACTGCAGCATTCTCTCTTACCTGGCTAAAGAGACAGCAGTCAGTGTCTTTAATATTCCCTCTAAACTTGCTTTTTTACTTTGGTCTAGAGTTGATACTACTCATAACTTCCTGGTCATGTCTGTTGCATAGTGCGGAGTTCTTCTCCTAACATCAAATCCTCTTCTTTTATCCCTCTCTTTAAGGTGTAGTCTAACACGCAGGTCTCTAGTCATCTGATTTCTTCCCCCATGCTTAATACACCGGTACTAGTGGCCTAGATCTCTAAATCCTGCTATAGAACTTTTGTCACTGAGATTAATGGGAGCTGAATTAGACCCTAAATCCTCAGTAGGGAATAGTTGTCAGTGTTGTCCTTCTGAGGGTTTAAAATGGATACTGTATCTCTGCAATGCCTAATGCAACAGGGGGGGGAAAAGAAAAAAAAAAAAAGTTGTTTTTATGTGTGTTACTGCTAGATAGTCATGTGTCTAGAAAGCTAAAGCCTTCCACAAAATAAAAATGCTGCAATACTTGGATGATGAGAAAGATCAAGCACATTACCCAAATGTGTAGGGAATTTAGGCACAGGAATTCAGCTGGATTCACTTTCAAGACAGGACCCCAGACACTGAATCTGGGTTAGAGCATGAAGGTTCACAGTTCTTCTGACCCCGGATTTTAGAGCTGTTTTGTAACACCACTGTTATTACTGGGGATGGTAAGATAAATATTACTTACATAAACAATTCCTTTGACATCAGCCCTGCTTTCATTAACTGCCCTGGACCATCTGCCTCCTGGACACACTGAAGCAGGTGAAAGATTCTGCTCATCAGTTTTTCAGTTCACCTCGCTATAGTAACTCCATCTAAATCACTACAGGAAAAAGAAAAATTCCATTTTATTCTTCCTTTTTAGAGAAATAAAAACATTTTACATCAGAGAAAGGAGAATCTCAATGCCATTAAGAAATACAGCATGAACCTACAGACAGAAAGAAGAGCAGGTATCTCATGCTATTATTTTAAGAACGGTAGAGAAACGAGTCTCATCTTCCCTAAACACAGCACTTCAGATTGGTTTCTCTGAATTCATAGAGAGGAAAAATACAGGGAAATGCTTGGGATTTAGTCTTAGCAGCTTTTATTTTTATTCAACTGTACAAGTAGCTCAAGCCCCTTCTTTCTTACTCCGCACAGTAAATTTCTCAACATACCTACACAGTCCGTCCTGATTCCAGCAAGCTGCTCAGCACCACATATCACAGGACATGTTCATGTACATGCTAACACGCTCCTTCTCTTCTGCCTTGCTTCCATGCAGCCTGCAGTCTGTTCCCGTGTCCTTGCAAGCCTGCCCAGCTGTGGAGTCTCACATCAGTTCTGGCTGGGCTGTGCCCAAACAACAAATGATTGTTGCATATGGAAGGAAAGTGGCATTAATAATTCAAGCTTTTTCATGGCACCTTTGAACTTTTCAACCAGCAGTGTCACCAGCTGGTTAGCAGAGTTTGGGTAAGAAGGGGAGGGATTTCACCCAGGCAGGGACCAGGCTCAAACGGAGTATCACAAGGGAACATCTCCAGAGACTGAAAAGAGAGGTCAATTCCAATACCAGAAAACGTCTGCTATCATCCAGGAGGCTACCACACAAGGCACAGTGAATAGAGTCTAAATAAGAGCTTGCGCTGGTGAAAATTAAATCACTGGCCCCTTCTGCATCCCTGGAGTTTTATTTCAGGAAGCTAAGCCTGGATAGCACAGGTTGCCTCTGTCCTCTTTGCCTCGCCAGCACCAAGCTGTCTGCTGACAACAGAAAGCAGCTTTCAGCCAGCCCTGAGAAGACAGCAAAACTGGCACTGTGTCCTCATTATGCCTGACTCTCTGTCCAAATCAAGCAGAGACTGAATTTCTATTCAAATTGATTTTCTGAACAGAGCCATGCTCCCCTTTAAATGCAGCTTTTGCAAACAGGGCAAGGTTGCTACCAGCAGGAGTGGGCAGCAGGTGACTGGTCCATGCAAAATTGCTTCTAATTCAGTAATGCTTTTCCCCTTCCCAGTTATTCTCCCTCAAAAAAGCAGAAAACAAAGCAAGGACAAATACACAGTCCACACATGCAGTCTCTGTCACCTGGTTACAAACTGACAGCGTGGTGAGTGTAGGATTTAACTCCCAGGAGGGTGGCCCTGACTCTTCAAGGCAAAGTCCCCTTTTACCCCATACCTCTCCCAGAACTACTTTCCAGAGAAGGTGCAGATTAAACAAGATAAACTCAGGTGAGGTCAGCAACCAGGACAAGTGACCCTAACAAAAAAATGTGATTAGTGCTGCTAAGATAAGATTTTAGATGCTTAACAGCATTAGTTTGGGTGGGACCTGTTTTCCTAATTTCTTTCAAGAAAACCCTGGCTTTTATGAACTATGCTTTAAGGGCTTGTCCATTAAGAAACAAAGATAAAAACCAAGCACTAAGCTGAAGAATTTAAGAAACATGCTTTACCTAAGCTTTCTGCCACTGGATGGTCCTCTTCTCCTTAGCTCATAAGAACGAGGCTGTAGAACCGCAGGTTAGTTCCCTATTTCATCACCTTTCATTCATTGTTAGCAACTAATGCTGTCCCTCTCTGCAGAGAAGAGAGATTCCTTTTTCAAAGACCAGAATGTAATCTGAGTCACGAATTCCTTATCCAATCTTGGGAGGGAAAAAAAAAAAAAAAGCCCCAGGGGCTCTTAGCTCTAACCTTCTAATGCTTGTGTGTGTGTGTCAGGGTAGGGGGAACTTCTCTGGAAAAATCCAGGCCTTCCCAGATCCTGTGAACTCTAGCAAACCGTGGCTATAAAAAACTGTGTCATTATCAGCTGGAACTTCTTCAAGGCTCTGCATACTCAAGCCAGACCCAGAGCCCTCTGTGTTTCTTTGATTTTTTTGATTTGTCAGAAGTCTCAGGCGTTATGATTGGGTTTTGCCTGAGGATGGCTGAGAAGAAAGTACTGATCGAGTCAGCTTCCTTATCAGAGTATCATCTGCTTTGAGTTACACTGAGATGAGAGAGGCTAAATTGTTTCTGTGCAAATATTCCCTCTCCACCTTCACTTAGTCTCAGGCCTATTTGCCTCAGCACCTCTAACCTGAGTTCTCCGCACAGACTAACCACCATGTTTGTCTGCTAAAGTGCTCCTAGCAAGATGCTGGCTGTTTGTTCCTGTCTTTTAAGGGAGGGAGAGGTAAGCAACAGGAAAATGAGACATTTCCAGATTTCATCCTCAGACCGCTGAGCAGACCGGACGGTGGAGTTCATGGCCTGAGACTTGGGTTCAGTGCCCACCACAGCCATGGATTTACCAGTTTGGTCCAAGTTATTCCTTCAATGACAAGACAGATCCACTTCAGACAAGAGCAGGAGTACTGATAAACCTACCCTAATGCACAGTGCCTTCACCGTTTGGTACATGCAATGACAACTAAGTCATCTTTGGAAATAAAACCTTCCTTGCACCTTCCCAGTTTCACTTCCCTTCTTCCCCTCTGCCCATTTCCATCTGGACATGCAGGCTTGGCAACACGATGATGGGCTGGAGGAGCTGGAAGTGCACTGCCTTTGCCCGCTCTATGCTGCCCCAGGATACCAGTACCAAGGGGCATTTCCAGCTGGCTAGCTGCTCTGACTTAAAAGCCTTTTTACCTTGGAGAAACAGCTTTAACCAGGGAATCCAGCAGCAGATAGAAGGAAGGAACAGAAGGCTTTAAGAGAGGCTTCATTCTGTAAGAGAATACAAGACTCTCCCATTTTCCTAATGATTCCTTTACATACAGAAAACATTAGGTACTTTCATCTAGCATTTGGCCGCTGCTGTTTTTAAAATGCTATTAAAGAGAGAAAACACATCAGAGCCACTTTTTCAGTGTAAATTCTTCTTAAATCAACAACAACAACAAAGTATTCGTGCCATTATAGTAAAGAGCTAAGAAAGTCACTGATTTTTTTTTTTTTTAAAAAAAAGGCTAAATCAAATGAATAGATGACTAGAAACGAATCATAATTGATTAGAAAAAAATGACACTTTGCATAGGTTCATAGCAACCTTGTTGGTCTAGTGGTAGTCTGGGAAAGGGGGATGGCCAGTGCTGTGTCTAACAGCTTTTAAGATGAAGCTTAATAAATGTAGAGGTAGGGACTTGATATGGTTTCATTCTGTAGCAAGCAGACATGATGATCCAGCCAGGACCCTATAGCTCTATGTCCTGTAATTGCAGGTTAAAAATATTCCTAACTTTCATTGCATTAATATAAGTTATCTATGCCATTTCTTCCATGTTACATTCTTCCTCATATTGAGGGGAAACATCCTCACTTGAGCCTGTACCTCAGGCTAGTGAAAGAGAACTCCTGTCCTCTCTTTGCTTCAAACTCATAAGACCTTTGACCCCCTCCTCCAGCTATTTTAAGATGAGCTAGGTCTCCAAGGTCCTCTTCCCTGGCAGTAACCTGAGGAAGACAAATAAAGTATTCATGACTGCAAGGAGAAACCAGAACAATTAAGTTACACACGTTTGAAAACAGCCTCCTTGAATATTTCAGGAGCGCTTTGTTGCCCTATTGTCTGCCATTCTGTGAGGCTGGATGATCCCCTTGCACTGGAAGCCAACATCCCATGGCCTCTGCCCAAAGGTCAGCCAAAACGACAGACTGACACCCTGTACAGATGGTATTACACCCCACTGGACTTCATACGGGTCTGAGCCAAAAGACTCAGCCAAGACCCAGCTCAAGCTTCCTCCTTTTCATCCCTTCATCCAACTCCGTTGCTGTTGCCTAAAAAGAGCAAAGTGATGATGCGCAGTCAGGCGAATCTCTAATTTTTATCTTGCTGGTTTCATAACCCAAACAGGTAACAGATGAACTCGTAAAGTAACAAGAGCACTGAGAACTATGGCATGATTAGATACAAGCGAACACGCCCACCTGGCATTCTACTAAATCTTTGCTAGTGTTGCGTCCTGTGCTAGTTAGAGTGTAACTAAAGAGAATGCCACCACTTGAGCTTCCCTCATACCTTCTTTTTACTTGGCACACTAAAGTGCATGGATGGCCTCAAATAAAACACCATTCTTGTTCCCCCTTCCCTTTTCTGTACGTCTGGGAACCATGGATTTGATACAGAACTCGTCTGGGTTGGTGAAATCCCCTGGATTTGACCTGGTTTTCAGTCCAATTATAGACAAATGCGAGAGAGTTTCCCCACTGTGTGGGCTACAGCTGTGGCTGCCCCCAGGGCCCATTGTCCTATGAGAAATGACTTCTCTGCAGAAGGCAGCAGAGCCCCTGAAGTATAAATCAAAAGATCAAAGTGGAAAAGTTAAGATTGTCCAGACTGAAGCGATTACACCCAGGTATTCGAGAATCCCCAGCAGAAGCTAATAAGCTTGCAGAGATAAAGGTAGAAGAAATCAAGCAGATAGAGGTGAGGTTTCATGTTACAGCTAAACTGACTTTATGACTGTCATCTGAAAGGGGCTGCTCCTTCCTTCTAGTCTCACCTGCATTCCTCAGTTGTTTCCCTTGCACCAGTTCTGGTGGTCATGTTGGTACAATAGTCTACCTAATAATGGAGGAAGAAGATTTGGCAGACATGTCTTTTTCTACTGTAAATATTTTATTGCTTTAACCTGTAAATAAGATTCCTGTTGATTTTACAAGAGGTAAAGTCTCTCCACATGCCCAGGACGTCTTCATAAGTAATAAATATATCTTAACAGATACCATTCTAAAAATGAAACTTGAGTCATTTCCATACATTATACATTCTAATGGAAAGTTCCTTTTCTCTTTGTAAGCAATCCTGAGACAAGCACATCAGTGAGCAAGCTAACCTGCTGAACAGCAGCATATGTTTAGCCTTACGAAATAAAAGATTGCAGCTACTATCTGCTGCTTCTTGTCAAAGAAAATCTACCAGTGTTAATGGCACCTGCCTCCAATGTCATCATGTCATCAACTAACGAGGCACACAGAGATCTGATACATTCCTTTATGACTGTGATGCGAACTACTGAGACATGAGCATTTTTCTTATGCACTAGAAATGTTTACCAGATGCAGACCCTACCCTCAAGCAGGGTTTTCTAATGGTTGAACAAACAAAACAAACAAACCTCTAGGTAACAGTTGAATGGGCACAAAGAACAGTATGTAGGAATCTGCTTGTGCAGCATCATTAAACAGAGCTGAAAGGGGCTAGGAGCCGTTTACATTCAACCCAAGCTTGGAGTCTTTGAAAATGCAATGCACTTCAGAGAGATGACATGATACCATTTCCCTTTGAAATTCTTATGTCCCACTTGTCCTGAAAACAACTGGGTTTAGCTAAGGTAAAACCTGAATGTTGCTCGACTGAGAGTCCAGCCACTGTGACTTCCAGTTGTTTTTAGTAAAGATTCCTTGTTATGCTTTCTGAGCCTTTAGGTCTGAAGCATTGCTACCTGCAGGGGTTCATGTGGAGGTCCCAGCAAGTCTATGAAGCTAGCCTGTTAAAGGTTATTTCTATAGTAGGTGGTTAACATAAGGTGTTTTTTTTTTTTTTTTTTTTTTCTCCAGAAAATGAACCTCATGGGCCTAACTTGACATAACTGAATTTCCTTGAAATGGATTTTTTTTTAAGTCTTCGTTACTGTTCATTAGCATTCAAAATGTCTTCCTGTAATGAAAGTACAGGAAAATATCACCAGGTCTGAACAGATACCCAACTGGGGACTATCATACCACCTTTACTTACAAACCTGCATTTTATCTGCTCTTATCTGTGTTAGTTAGAATCAGAACAGCAGGATGTATATGTCTGTAAAACAACCGACCCTTTAAGAATACTTCCACCAAATTCAAGTGTGACTAAAAGAACAGACACTTCCACATCCAATAATCCTCGGATTTCAGCATAAAGCTCCCTCAGCAATAACTTAAACTGCTTTCAACTCAATATACCACCCACCTAAGCTATCCAGTTCTCCCAAAGCAACACTAAACCTTTACTTGAACTCGTGTATTCCTTGTACTCTTCCCTCCATCAAGACTTGTAACATCTGACTTTGAGATGGCATTCAGCAGCCCAGAGATGTCCTTGTGTAGAAGATATGTTTAAGAGCTCAGCCTGTTTTTCAAGAGCTCAGCACAGCAATCTGATAAAGCTAAGTTCCCTTTGAGGAGAGTGTGAGCAGAATCCAAGCATCTCTTTTTGAAGTCA